CCCACACTGGGACCCAGGGGTCGCCTCCCGCCAAAAATACAGTTTCCCGCCAACAGCACTGCCAACGTGACTCCAATCTCGGGGGTCATCATGACCTTTTTTGTCTCTCGTCCCAGGACCCACCCGACCCACCCATCAGACCCCGCCTCGGAATCACTCATCTCCCAAAATCACGTCTGCAACTGACCTGACTTTGACCCCCCATTTGACCCCTTTCTAATACACCTGTCTCCAAGGTCAACATATCCCCCGAATCCCACATCTCCGCTCTACAAGTACCCACCCCCACTGAGACCCCTGCCCGGACCGGCTGAAGCCCCTCGATCCCTGGGGGAAGCCCTGAAAAAAAAAAAAAAAAAAAAAAAAAAAAAAAAAAAAAAAAGTCCCAAGGCCGCGACCTACTTTCAACCTCATCACATTTTGATTTTTCTCTCCAAACCTGTTCAACCTACTTTTTCGAAAATTTTGCTCCGAGATCCGCTAAAAGTGCCCGATATTTCGACGGACTCGCGCTCTTCTCTGATGCTTAAAGTCGACTGACCTTGACCTATAAGTATATATGGATATTTGAATTTTCCAAGGTCAACCCTTCGACCTACGCAATGTCACCCGGGACCTTTTTGTAGCCCAGGTCACGACCTATCTTCCCATGACCTTAACTTTGACCTTCGCTTAAGGACTTTTCGAGATATTCCACCTCAAAGTTTGACACTTTGCAAATTTCCGCCCATTTTTCCTCGCGGCCCCGATTTTCTCGACCCGACCTTGAAACGTTTTTATTTTTTTGAAGGTCAAGGACGCTTCCCATCCAAGGTCACGCTGGACCTTTATTGTAGACAATATTACTGCCTTTCTTCTGATGACTTGACCTCGACCTTGAACATGACCTTGACACATAAAACCTCTTTTTACACCTAAAAAACCCCCTTTTTGACCCCTGACCCCGACCGGACAAAGATCGGCGGTGACAAACCGACCGACAACGTCGCCGACGGGGCCTTGCCACTCGCCGGACCAGATTAAAACCCTAAAAAAATAACCCTAACCCAAACCCAGATTAAAAGAGAAAAAAAAGCCTAATTGACCCTAACCCGACCTGCAAAAGACCGGCGGTGACAAACCGACCGACAACGTCGCCGACGGGGCCTTGCCACGCCCGACCCAGATTAAAAGAAAAAAAGCCTGATTGACCCTAACCCTAATGACCTTGACCTCGACATTGTAGATGACCTTTACATAGATAACCCCCTTTAGCAGCTAAAAAAAAAGTCGTTTTTTCCTCTACACGGACCTGCAAAACAACCCCAAAGCTAAACCGACCGACAACATCGCCGACGGGGTCTTCTCACGCCCGACCCATGTTATCAGAAAAAAAAAAGCCTGATTGACCCTAACCCTAAACCAAACCCTAACCCAAACCAAAAGACCGCCAATGACAAACCGACCGACAACATCGCCGACGGGGCCTTTACCGCCAATGTTAAACCGACCGACAACGTCGCCGACGGGGCCTTCGCCCTCCCGATCCATGTGTATGCGATGAGCCCTGGCTGAACGGGTGCGGTAGGATTCACCCTAGGGTTAGTATTAGGTTTAGGTTTTAGGGTTAGGGTTGATAACACTCTGGAAGTGGTTTTTGCTATTCCTAGATGACCTGCAAATATTAAGTCATGTGCCAATGACAATGCTTGATGAATGCTTGTTCCCGGACTAGCTTCCACTTGCAATGAGCTGCTTCTATGAGCGCTGACTTGTCTAAGCGATGATGTGTATTGTGAATGCTCTTAGCACACATTCTACGATGACATAACGAGACAAGCAGACACCGACTTAGCAGTACGATATATCAGTTTATTGACATCTTATTACTTACATGAACGTCTGGTCCTTGTCCGAAAAAACAGCTTTCACACACCACATTACTCAGACTTTAACATGCTGGCTTCTCACGCAGTCACTGACCAGAGTTCGAACAGATAGATTTGGTTCATCTGCTCGACTTCATACAGACTGATCTGGCTGGTCTTGGCTTCAAATGGATGTTGTCGTCTGTTTTTCCTCTCACAGCAATCAGTCTAACGCTGGCATTCTCTTAATCAATCTTCCGTCCTTTCACTCCGGTGACTTCCGCCACCGCCGAGAGTATATCCCACGCCGCTACGAGCGGCGTGGATTGGGGCTAAACTAGATGGCTGGGATTCACGAGCAAATAAAATGAGGGAAGCTGCAGGAAATGCGGCAGCTGCTGCTCGTGAGTCCCAGCTATCTAGTTTAGCCCCAATCCACACCGCGCGTAACTGCGTGGCAGAGACTATTGGCGGTGGCGGAAGTCGCCAAAAGTGCGCAATTTAAGTCACCGGAAGTTCCAATTGACATGTGACTGAGGCCCTGTTAGGGTATATTTTTGGCCTTGATAATTTGGGAACGTTATTCGGAAGTTAACCCATTTCTGGCAACCTAGTCAAGCACATTCATTAAGGGGTGCCGTGTGGGGTTTACAATTCTGGCAATCTGGTCAAGTATACTCATTAACCCTATGACATGAGGTCCTGAACCTAACTGCTCCCTGTACCTGAGCTCCTGGGCATCAGCACGAAAAAACCAACATGATATACATAAATATTAGTTACATGCAAACAAGTTGTTAGAATAAGATTAAACTTGGAGACATTGTAGAAAATAAGCTTACCTTTCATCTAGCGACAATATTACACCTTTGTGTGGCATTCCACCCAGCAAGATCTTCATTGGTTTACAAAGTGAGCACCAGATGTTGCTGTTTGAGGGACACACCCTCTTCTCTTATTATCGATCTAGTTTTAAATCTATAATTTTCAAGATTCTCCTCATCAGTCGAGCTCACACTGACTGTGTCACTTCAGCTAGGAACTATTCTTCAAGAAATTTTGACACCTCTGAATTTGAATCAACCAAATTATTGATCATCTTTTGGACTGTGAAAAGCCTAGACCTATTTGACTTTTCTGTCGAACTGCCTAGTTCATCAGCTGCTCGTTTCTTTGTGAATTTTCATAATTTATTTTAAATCACACAAAGTAAATCCAAACACACATGGGCAACAATTCGCAATGACAAACCACGATGTCTGACCACGATTGGCAATTTATTTTTCGTTTGTGACGCATTGTTTTCACGTGGTACGCAAATTACCGACAATGAGGTAGACTGGTTTAGCGGCAGCTTAGGAAATTACCGCAGTAGCGGTACATCGATCTGGTAGAGTTAATGAGAGCCCTTTGGAGTTCATACATTGTTCAAAATTAATAAGTTTCTAACATTCAGAACAAGGTGTCTTTTGTAAAATGAGCCATCTATGGTGCCGTCTAGTGGATTTTTTTTTTAAAACTGCAAAGAAGCTTTTCATTTGTATGCAAGTCTTCCTTTCAAGCTTTAATTCAACATCAATGTCCATTATTCTGCTTTGTTTATTTATTACTGATGTAAAATCAAATTTATTTACATCTACATATGTTCTATCAAAAATATTAATAATATCTTAGTTCAAACTGGCAAAGGAGCTATAATAAGGTATTACTGGGCTGTAGATTTAATGGCAGATCATCAGGCCATATGGCTTCGGCTATTTGTAGTAAACATCATCTCTGCTCCATCCATAACCTAGCTGCAATCTTCAGTAAATATAATATTATCCGTTTGATCCATCCATCCATATGTTATGCAGTCAAAACAGCACTGAAACTGACAAAGAGGCCTCTCGGAGACCGGCTAATGCAAGAAAACCAAAACGGCGGCTTCAGGGAAATAGTAATGGAAATCAAAATTGTACGGACTGGACTAGTGGATAACAAGGAATCCCTGACACCAAAACGGTTGCGTGACATGACAGTGAAGCATGGGGAAGCACGTCTATTCCGTCTTCGAGGTCGAGATAGGAGACAATTTAACCAGCTTCTCATAGAAACAATTAGCAGAAGTACATTGAAGTGGCTGCTGAATGGGAGGACTGAGCACGCATGGGAATGCCCAATGTGCAGTGACGTCAATTGTTATAACATAACATAACCTAGCACAATATAACACTGTCGTCTGGAAAGACGGAAAGATGCCAATCAAATTATGTCTTTTTAACAAAAATAATAACAAAACTAGCACTTACTAATTTTAATTATTTTTGAGTACTTAGATATACTTTACGCCTTTTTAATAATTTGAACAATACTAACTGCTAAAGTTATCTTTATTTTTGTACAGTTATACAAATTTAAGTCCTTTTAGTGATAATAATAATAATAAAAAGAAGAAGAAAAAGAAGAAAAGAGTTAACAGTAACTCCTGATCGTAGAATTTTCAGCGCAGGCTCCTCTTTGATATAGTGTAGAAAGTATGGGAAATCTATAACAGAAGACAAAATCAAAGGTACCAATAAAAAGGATAAACCTAGTTAGTTATAACTCCTGGAGTAATCAGTACGAGCTTAATGTTACATACCATTTAAACAGGTGCTAACAGTTATTCAAAATGTTTTCTTAGTCGTCTTCTTCTTCTGCTGCTGCTACTGCTACTACGAAGTGAGCTTCATGCAATGGCATAGGATATGACGACGTGGCGTGAGTTGGTTGAGGGGGACAAACGGCAGGTGGGGGGGGGGGTGCGAGTACTAGTGAGGTAGAAATTAACGTCTTCGTTGCAACAAGTTTTATTCCATAATGGCTAGCCATGCTAGCCGGGAACTCTGCGTAAAAATGGCACTCATAAACTGAACGATGCTGTTGCTGAAACGAACCGCCAACCTTCCGAGATGAGGCAAATGGCTCAATAGCCGAGCCATTGGTAATATTCAGTGTTAGTGCAAATGCCAACCAGGTATTTCGAGGGGGAAATTTGGCCAGGTCTTGTGAAAGAATCTGGACATAACCTTTGAACCCCAGCAGCAGACAAACTTCTGCAGGTCGTTTTTTCTTGTTATATTTTAGTTATTTCTGTTTTTGCTGTAGTTGTTGTGGTTGACAGCCGAGAAGATGCCGCTGGCCGCGAGGACTGTACTGATAACCGGAGCCTCAAGAGGACTGGGCCTAGAGATGGTGAAGCAGTTGCTGAAGCTGCCGTCCAGCCCTGAGGTCTTGCTGGCCGCCTGTCGAGACCCGGGCTCCGCCACCGATCTGCAAGCCGTGGCTCGCTCATACCCTCAGCTCAAGATCATCAAACTAGACGTGGAGAACGACGAAGATATTCGCGCAGCTTTCCAGGTAAACTATTATAACTAAGGAAAGTCAAGTAAAAGAGCATTTTCCAGTTATTGTAAATTGTATTATAACTAGACGATCCTACCCGTAGGCGAGTATCTGGCCGTTACACCAGGGCGATTGTCTTTGAATAACTAGAAGTAATTTAATTTAAATAGTTGTAATTTGTTGATGATTGGTTTTGCTGCTTCATCTCGCTATTGCAGTGGGTAATTGGTTACCAATAAACAACTTAAAAGTTTGTCTAGGAAAGATGATGAAGCAGTTTATAACGGAAACTGTCTGGGGGGGGGGGGGTGTTAAGGGGGCGGCAAGCAGTTTTTAAATTGAGTGCATTTGCATTTAAATAATCCATTATGGTATTGTTTTCAGTTTCGTTATAAATAAAATGGTAAAAACATTTTTAAAGCTACTAAAACAAATAGGCATGAACTTTTTAAAAAAAATTTCCAAAAGCAGTCTGTGTATCTACAGTTTCAAATCTAATTAATATGGTAACACAGACATTTAATTATAGATAAGGAACACATTCTGTCCAAAACCTATCTCTATACTGTCTGATTCTTGGCTGTGGAATCTTTTTAATCACAATTTGTTATTTGGGGGGGGGGGGGATCTTTTTACATACTCAAGGGGGCCTAGGGGTCTTGCTGTATATTCAGGGAGGGGGGGGGGGGGTGAGGGTTTTGCAGTATAGTCAAGGAGAGCGCAGGGGTCTTGCCAAATACCCAAGGGAAGCGTGACTTGAGAAAAGGTTGGGGACCGATGATGTAGTGTAGGGAAATGCTAATGTTATCTTTTGAGGTTATCATTTGAAAACTTACAGCTAATGAGAATGATCGGTACAATACTGTTTAACTTTATAGGAAAGACATCAGTTCAGTAACTTCTTCTTCTTCACATTCACAGGCTGTAAATTTTCTGATTGTTTATAAACTTCTATACTGTAGTCCGGTTCCACAACCTGAGTTTTGTGTGTACATCCATGTTCTGGCTTATTTCTATGCACACTCTTGGTTCCTCGCCTCTTAGGCAGTAACACTCTGACCGAAGGAAGCACCACTAAATAGTTTATTCTTACATCATGCTTGTTTGGGGAAAGTGGGTCTTTGGGATTTTTTGTTGTTGAGGATATCAATTAAAAATTAAAAGCTTTTTTGCAGTAAAATAAAAATGGCTGAGACAGCACCAGGAATGGCTCATTTCACAAAAGACACCTGTTCTGAATGTTAGAACAATGTACAATAGAATGCCAGAGACATGAAGCCTATAGGGCTCTCCTAAAAGAGTATACTGGACTAGATAGGAACCCCACACGATGTCCCCTTTGAATGCATGTGCTTGACTAGGTTGCTAGAAATGTGAACCTTGCAGGTATAGACATAACTACCAACACCACACAGTATAGACTATAAGATGGAGACATGAAGAGAGAAAGCTGTGGATAGACATAACTACCAACGCCACCCAGTATAGACTATAAGATGGAGACATGAAGAGAGAAAGCTGTGGATAGACATAACTACCAACACCACACAGTATAAACTATAAGATGGAGACATGAACAGAGAAAAAGCTGTCAATAGACATAACTACCAACACCACACAGTATAGACTATAAGATGGAGACATGAACAGAGAAAAAGCTGTCAATAGACATAACTACCAACACCACACAGTATAGACTATAAGATGGAGACATGAACAGAGAAAAAGCTGTCAATAGACATAACTACCAACACCACACAGTATAGACTATAAGATGGAGACATGAAGAGAGAAAGCTGTGGATAGACATAACTACCAACGCCATACAACTTGAAATATAACAAGAACACTGTGATGATGATGATGACATAAGATGTGAATTCTAAATAAATACATTGATGATGCACCATGTACTGAATGACTTTCAGGAAACACAGACAGCTGTTGGAGACCGAGGTTTGAACCTGCTCATCAACAACGCAGGCATCTTCACCAACAAGCAAGATGGCGGTGGCGTTAGCCAGCAGACGCGAGACCGGCTGCAAAAACATTTTAATGTCAATGTAACCAGTAAGTAAGAAGTGACACTTTCTAAAAAATTGTAAGCCTCTCGCCCCAGAAACTCATTTAAGCAAAAGCACAGAACCCGGCACCCCCCCCCCCCCCCCATTTTTTAAAAAACTAAGCAGACAAAATTATAGATATAAATTTTTTTTGGTTTTGAATATAAAGGGAAGTAATTTGTAAACGTAAATGGCCTGGATAATTAAATGATTACATTCCCTTGAGCCTTAAAAAATTAATTTGTAGGATGACCCTTACTGTGACATCTTTACCCGTTACTCAAAGCTAAGTAAGAATTATGATGCCATCATTTCTAAAAGTTATTTCTTCACAGTAAAACTGCCCTCTCCTCCTCCCCTTTTCCCCTCCATATCTATTTTTTTTTACCCCTGACAACCAGAACAGTTTATTTGATCAGTCGACTGTTACACCCTGCAGCCCCTGAAATAGTCACTTTGGATACTCACTTCCCTGTTAAAATCGCAATAAATTTAGTTAAAGCTGTTAGTCATATCTTTATTTTTCTTTAAAGAAAACAAATTGTGTAGTGCTGAAAAGTTTAAGAAATTTGTGTGTGGTAAACTCCCATATTAGTGACGTGTTAAGACAAATGTTTTGATAATGGCGCGACAATCATTAGAGCCAACATGATGGTTCATTTTGGGGAAAATTCCTGATGCCATGAGATTTTCTTGATTAATTTAAATCCGAAAGTGAAGGTGAGGAGATTTCTGAACAGTTTGATGACTGTAACTTTGATCATTCTTATGAACTGCCATCACAAACAACGCCAAAACTGTAAGGATGACGAATTACTTATTAACTGTGGAGGTTAGAGGTCAATATTTCATTTCATGTAGACTGTGTCATGTATTGGGAATCACCTTTGACAGACACTCAATACAGCCACTTAAGGATGATGCTCAAAATGACACAATTTTTTATTCTTGTAATTTGTTTTCCTCAGGTTGGTGCAAAAATGCAAAATACTATGAGTTTATGTTAAACAGTTATCAGGTTAGAACAGTGTTAGTACACACTAGAAATGTGTCTTATCTGGATAATGGGCTTGGTAGTCAGTGGCTTAATGTGTATGATCAAATTAGGGCCTTCAGAAACACTGCACTAACAAACAACAAAACAGAACAAGTGCTGTTAACATGGCTTATTGCAGCAATGGTAGTTATAAGCGGCTTCTCTGGGATTGGTAACAGACAGACCAGGTTTGCAGTGTTTCACGGGTGGATGGGTTATCATCTCCCCTTTTCTCACAATAGCTTTCTCATCTCCCTCTTTCCTTCCCTCCAATCTCTCTTTTTATTTAAATTATGGTTATTACCTACTTGTGTGGTATTTTTTATATCTTACATGTGTGGTGGTAGTTATTATAACTGACATGTCCTCTCTGGGAAGGCTAATTGTAAATGTTCTTTTTAGGTTCACTGATTGCAAATGTTCTGTTTCCACTGATTGTGAATGTTCCATCTATGTTCATTGATTTTGAATGTTATATCTAGGTCCACCGATTGTGAATGTTATATCTATGTCCACTGATTGTGAATGTTCTATCTAGGTCCACTGATTGTGAATGTTCTATCTAGGTCCACTGATTGTGAATGTTCTATCTAGGTCCACTGATTGTGAATGTTCTATCTAGGTCCACTGATTGTGAATGTTCTATCTAGGTCCACTGATTGTGAATGTTCTATCTAGGTCCACTGATTGTGAATGTTCTATCTAGGTCCACTGATTGTGAATGTTCTATCTAGGTCCACTGATTGTGAATGTTCTATCTAGGTCCACTGATTGTGAATGTTATATCTAGGTCCACTGATTGTGAATGTTCTATCTAGGTCCACTGATTGTGAATGTTCTATCTAGGTCCACTGATTGTGAATGTTCTATCTAGGTCCACTGATTGTGAATGTTATATCTAGGTCCACTGATTGTGAATGTTATATCTATGTCCACTGATTGTGAATGTTATATCTATGTCCACTGATTGTGAATGTTCTATCTAGGTCCACTGATTGTGAATGTTCTATCTATGTCCACTGATTGTGAATGTTCTATCTAGGTCCACTGATTGTGAATGTTCTATCTAGGTCCACTGATTGTGAATGTTCTATCTAGGTCCACTGATTGTGAATGTTATATCTATGTCCACTGATTGTGAATGTTATATCTATGTCCACTGATTGTGAATGTTCTATCTAGGTCCACTGATTGTGAATGTTCTATCTAGGTCCACTGATTGTGATCCAGACATTTCTGCCACTACTTCAGCAAGCAGCAGCCAGGGATCAGTCCCAGGGCCTCAGCTGTAACAGAGCTGGTATTGTCAACATCTCCTCGGCCATGGGCTCCCAGACCATCACGTTTGCTCACGGCGCAGGCACAGCTCTAGATTACAAGTAAGCTGTTTATTTATTCACCATTTAGTGTTGTTTATCACAATGAAGGGTTGTTTATAATGTCACCATTCCAGGGATGTTTATGATGTAACCATCTAGGATTGTTTATGTCACCATTCTAGGGATGTTTATGATGTCACCATCTATGGTTGTTTATGATGTTTACCATTTAGTGTTGTTTATCATGTCCCCATGAAGGGTTGTTTATGATGAAACCATCTAGGGTTGTTTATGTCACCATGCCAGGGATGTTTATGGTGTCTACCCTCTGTATTTTCTTTAGTTCACATGTGTCTGCCTTCTGTTACTTTCTCTAGTTCACAGATGTGTACCCTCTGTATTTTCTCTAACTCACAGTTGTCTACCCTGTGTATTCTGTAACTCAAAGTTGTCTACCCTGTGTATTCTCTAACTCACAGTTGTCTACCCTGTGTATTTTCTAACTTACAGTTGTCTACCCTGTGTATTCTCTAACTCAGTTGTCTACCCTGTGTATTTTCTAACTCACAGTTGTCTACCCTGTGTATTTTCTAACTCACAGTTGTCTACCCTGTGTATTTTCTAACTCACAGTTGTCTACCCTCTATATACTCTAACTCACAGTTGTCTACCCTTTGTATTCTCTGACTCACAGTTGTCTACCCTGTGTATTTTCTAACTCACAGTTGTCTACCCTTTGTATTCTCTAACTCAGTTGTCTACCCTGTGTATTTTCTATACTTCACAGATGTTCCAAATCAGCACTGACAATGGCTAGCATTCTTCTAGCCCGGGAACTCAAGGACTCTGGGATACTGGTGGCCGCCTTACATCCAGGCTGGGTGAAGACAGACATGGGGGGACAGGGGGCAGACCTGACACTAGAGGAGAGTATTCAAGGTTGTCTCAATGTTATAGGCAGCATTGGTCAAGAAAACAGCGGCAAGCTGATCAACTACAAGGGAGAAGTTTTGCCCTATTAAATGTCTGGATAATTCAATTGTTGCTTTGTAAGATGTTTGAATAATCCCGGTGTTGCCTTGCTAGATATTTGGATAATCCCGGTGTTGTCCTGCTAGATGTTTAGATAATCCTGGTGTTGCCTTGCTGGATGTTTAGATAATCCCAGTGTTGTCCTGCTAGATGTCTTGATAATCCCGGTGTTGCCTTGCTATGTGTTTGAATAACCCCAGTGTTGCCTTGCTAGGTGTTTAGATAATCCCGGTGTTGCCTTGCTAGGTGTTTAGATAATCCCGGTGTTGCCTTGCTAGGTGTTTAGATAATCCCGGTGTTGCCTTGCTAGGTGTTTAGATAATCCCGGTGTTGCCTTGCTAGGTGTTTAGATAATCCCGGTGTTGCCTTGCTAGGTGTTTAGATAATCCCGGTGTTGCCTTGCTAGGTGTTTAGATAATCCCGGTGTTGCCTTGCTAGGTGTTTAGATAATCCCGGTGTTGCCTTGCTAGATGTTTGAATAATCCCAGTGTTGCCTTGCTAGGTTTTTAGATAATCTTGGTGTTGCCTTGCTGGATGTTTAAATAATCCCGGTGTTGCATTGCTGGATGTTTGAATAATCCCGGTGTTGCCTTGCTAGATGTTTGAATAATCCCGGTGTTGCCTTGCTAGGTGTTTAGATAATCCCGGTGTTGCCTTGCTAGGTGTTTAGATAATCCTGGTGTTGCCTTGCTGGATGTTTAGATAATCCTGGTGTTGCCTTGCTGGATGTTTAGATAATCCTGCTGTTGTCCTATTAAAAGTCTGGACAACTCCAATGTTGTCAAGCAACAAGACATTGTGCTTGACTTCCTGCCATTTCAGAGACAATGATGCCATTCAATGCAAAACTCTACTGGCAAATAAATAGTCCCCCCCCCCCCCCCCCCCCCCCTTTCCACAAGAAAAAAATAGGTGACAGGTTTATTCTGTACAATTAATCTACTGCTTACAATGTGTTGTTTGTTTTACATAACTATTCCAGTGCTTATGTGTTGTTTCTTCTATAAAACTAATCTAATGCTCACATTTGTTGTTCTAAAAAAAAAAACCTAATCTGTTTATGAGTCGCCATTTGTACTGCATAACCTTAAGGTACCACATGAACTAACCACATCAGTGATGCCTTCACAGCTTTTGATGAAACTTGGAAATGACTTAGCAGACTCATTTTATAGCATATCAGCAGACTTTCAATGCAGTAGTTGCAATCTTATACAGAATTTCTGAAACAAGACACAGCAGTAAGCATGCTTTTGTGTGTGTATGCGAAAGATCAATTGGTTAAATTTGAACTTTTTGTTGTACAACTCTTAACTCTCCTTTGGAGATGACACGGCAAAAATATAGGCTAACAAAAAGTAGCCAAAAGGACGACCCTATGTAATACAAGCCTTGAGATTGGCTGGCAGGTTTTCGTACCAGCCAATCAGATTGATTCTCGCATTTCTTGCACATGTGGGCCGTTCATTAACAGCTTTTAGGAAAGATTGATGTGCTCGGTAATTTTACATCAGTTTTTTTCTGGGGTTACCTGTACCCAAAAATGCTAAAAGGATTGTTGTATTATGGCGACTGAAGCTGGAGGCAGGAACATGAGTAGAACCATGTGCCAGAAGTGTCTCAAAGGGCCTTACTTCCCAAAAAACAAGTTTTAGGACTTATTCAAGCTTCATCCATCAAAAAATTCATCCACATTTTTTGGGTTAGTCATGTTTGTTCCCAAGTTATTTTTAAAAAAATGCATAAATTATGCAAATTAGAATATTAAATTTGAATAAATGTTGGGATTTCAGTTTGATTCATAAATATTCTATAAACGATGAGAATCCCTTCCTGAAAGTTTCGTCTTTTTGGCACAAAAAATTCAAAAAAGGCTTTGTCTCCAGAGGGTTAAAGTGCAATCCAGCAATGATCACTGAATGTTTACATACCTCGAATAAGCATAAATGCATTCTAATTACTTCTTATGCCTGAAAAAAATCTGATATAACGTTGAGAATTAAGTAAATATTGATATATCAATTCCTCTATATTCCATTACAGCTGAGATAAATGTTTTGTTGAACATCCGCACCAATTTGTAAACGGACAATGCTTAAAAAAATGTCATTATTTTCTAACAACTAATTTACTGCTTATAATGTGGCTTTGTTTATTGTGTATAATTGATCTACTTATAAAGTATTATTGTTAGCTGACTGATCGAACATTGAAGCAATAATTATGTTGTCCCTGAGACTAAAGCAAATTGTAAATGTGTGTTGTCACTGAGACTGATTAAGATTATAAATCTGTGTTGTCATTGAGACTGATCAAGATTATAAATCCGTGTTGTCATTGAGAATTAATAAATAAATCTGTGTTGTCATTTAGACTGATCAAGATTATAAATCTGTGTTGTAATTGATAATTGATAAAAATAATAAATCTGTGTTGTCATTCAGACTGATCAAAATAATAAACCTGTGTTGTCACTGACTTTACTAAACAAGCGGAACAGCGCATAAATGCATTTGAATATAAATGTTACAGACAGGTTCTAAGAATATCTTGGGTAAAGAAAAGAACAAATGCATCCATACTTCAAGAGCTGAATATTGAAGAGGGTTGGCTAGTAAAGACAATAAAACAAAGAAAATTGAAATATTTTGGTCACTTGAAACGTCATGGAAGTCTAGAGAGAACAATAATGGAGGGGTATATGCCTGGGAAGAGAGGAAGAGGAAGGCCAAGGAGAAGATGGGTGCAGGATGTGGCAGATGATCTCCAGATGGGTGTATCAGACGCAGGACATCTTGCTCAGGATTGGAAGGTTTTCCGGAGGGTTGTTATGGCAGCGAGGTTCCGCGAGGGACATGCTACTGAATGAATGATGTCATTGACTGATCAAAAATAAAAAATCTCTGTTATCATTGAGACTTGGAAATGGCTTGGCCACATTATAAGAATGAATCCTGATATACCTGCCAAAACAGCTCGAACATGGACATCAGAGGGAAAGAGAAAACAGGGCCGCCCAAAAACAACATGGAGACAAACGATGGAAAGTGACCTGAGTGCGGCATCTTTGACATGGAAAACTGCACTGAAGATTGCACTGGGCAGGAAAGAATGGAAAGTCCTCTGAAGCCTTATGTGCCACTAGGCATAACGTGGCGCGGTGATTTATGTCACAGGCGTGAGGGTTAAGTCCAACATGATGTGTATAAGGAGATACTCCGTACGTCACTCGGGCGCCAGTCCTTCACTGTTCTGGTTTTACGGAACCTCACGCAAGACCCCTGCAGCACGTCCTCGTCGTGCGCCACGGATAATGTCTCAAATGAGCATTAACAGAGCTGTCAGGGGATCTCGGAGTTTGGCGGCCCCAGAGGTGATGTGTCCATTTGGCTCTCATCAGGCCACCCCCAAACGCTTGGGTGAAAAAGGTTATAAAACTCATTAGGAACATGAGTATGCTTGCCAAACGTACAGCTAAAATCACAACCCTTGGTTAAAAGATTGCGGAATGAAGAGAACATTGTTCACTGTACATCCTCGGTTAACCCTCAGTGTCGTCGTCACCGCGCTGAGGTACACCACAACAGCAACCATCCACAGGCTGGCCATCCATGTACATCCTCGGTTAACCCTCAGTGTCGTCGTCACCACGCTGAGGTACACCACAACAGCAACCATCCATAGGCTGGCCATCCATGCACATCCTCGGTTAACCCTCTGTGTCGTCACCGCGCTCAGGTACACCACAAAAGCAACAGCCCACTGGCTGGTTAAGCCTAAATGTCCGACAAAACTAGATCCTCGCCCGAGTGTTGGGACCAAACTGATAACGATATGCCTGACGCTGGATGAAAAATTCTGTCGGGCTAATGGCTCGTCAAAGAAATCTAACGTGCAAAGAAAAAAGAAAGTACCTATTCGGGTGGTCACAAAAGTACAAAACCTACGGGCTGCTCCCCGCTGACTTCCAGAGGGCGCAGCCCTTGTCGAGCGGGATGCCTAATACGGTTGTGAGGTTAAGCAGGCATGTGCAGGACGTGACGATTCCTTGGGTGAGCCCAGAACCAGTGTCATGTGCCGGCTCTGCATACATGGAAGCCTCCTTGGATGGCGGGGAATGCCCATGATCTGCCCCTGCCTTCCCTTGAGGGCTAACCGTCCACAGGGGGCTGCCCCAAAGGGGTACTCCGGGGGCAATACCTGCGGAGAAGGCAACAAAGTGGATACCACACAAAACAATGGCCACAGTTATCCTAGTAATAGGCCTGACGTCTTCCTTCGAAGTCGGAGTACAGCTGCCCATGAGGCAGGGAACTGTAAAACGGTTGTACACGCAAAAATCAGGTCCAGGTGAAACCAAAAGTCCAAGCGGACGATTAACCTTTACCTTCCACTGGAATTCACAGCCGGTGAACGATAAAAAAAAATTAAAAAAAAAAAACTAGGCATAACGAGAATTGATGATGATTATTGAGACAGATCAAGATTGTAAATCTGTGTTGTCATTGAGACTGATCAAGACTATAAATTGAGACATACAACAGTGACTTCATGTCTGCAGTTTGTCCTGCAGCAGATAAAGTAGCTTATATTATACACTATAACTTGATTAGAGTCACTTGACTGATGTATCATTAGTTTCTGAAATAACAATGATCAGAGGACAGCACCCCATACATGTCCAACAGCAAACCAACCACATAATGTCCCAAAGCTACCAGAGGACAACAAAGCTAAAAGAACATGCGTCTTGTACACACTGGTGTAGAAAGAACATTTGCCTTGTATGGAATGGCGTGGAAACAACTTGTCTTTTACAGTTTGGTGTAGAAAGAACACGCCTTGTACAGACTGGTGTAGAAAGAACATTTGCCTTGTATGGAATGGTGTGGTAACAACTTGTCTTGTACAGACTGGTGTAGAAAGAACATTTGCCTTGTATGGAATGGTGTGGTAACAACTTGTCTTGTACAGACTGGTGTAGAAAGAACACTTGTCTTGTACAGACTGGTGTAGAAAGAATATGTGTCTTGTACATACTGGTGTAGAAAGAACATGTGTCTTGTACATACTGGTGTAGAAAGAACATGTGTCTTGTACAGACTGGTACAGAAAGAACTTTCACCTTGTATGAATTGGTGCAGAAAGAACATTTGCCTCGTACAGACTGGTGTAGAAAGAACATGTGTCTTCTACAGACTGGTGTAGAAAGAACATGTGTCTTCTACAGACTGGTGCAAATGAAACATTTGTTTTGTACAGACAGGTGAAGAAAGAACATGTGTTTTGTACAGACTAGTATATAAACAACATGTGTCTTTTACAGCCTGGTGTAGAAAATACAATCTGTAGCAAATACTAGAAACTTGTTATTGTTCACTTTACACTCATGTCGGCTGTCCCAGGACACTGTCTAGCCACGTCAGTTGTCCACAGGCTATCATCATCAAAATCAAGTGCGTTTCAGACTGGCATTGACGATCATGCCTCTCCACAATCTGTGATCTGCAGCTGAGTGTATCAGTTAGTGTGCTGACACCCCTCTATGCCATGACAAAAGGCCAACAAGAATCTTTTCATGCTGTCTTCCTCAGTCTCTCTGTCCAAAGATATTCCCAGTTGTCACAACATTTTTCCATTTTGCCTCTTCTCATAACATGACCAAATTAAAATGATGACTGTCTCTTTCTGATGTTTGTGATAAGACGTCTCTGAGCACTCGCCATTTTCAAAACATCTGGGTTGCTCTTCTAAGCTGCCCAAGGAATTCTAATGATTCTTCTATAAAATCACATCTCCGAGGCCTCAAGATATTGTTCAGCTGGTTTGTTAATTGTCTAGGATTCACAGCTGTATGTTAAAGCTGGCTCTATATAGTATGCGAAAATTCTTCTCCTAACCTCTAATGACACGGATTTATTGCATAAAATGTTCTTCATTTGATAAAATAAAGTTTTGGCATGTCCTATTCCACTTTTTATCTCTGCGATACTTTTTCTATTGGATGCTATCCATGTGCCTAAATTTCCGTACTTGACCCCCCAAAAAAACGTCTGACTTTTATTAAAAATTATTAACTATTTTCTTGGAAATCACCATTACTTATGTCACGATTATTCAAAGCATAGCCCATTTTATCACTTTCTGCCACCACCTCATCTATCAATTCCTGTAGTTCTTTCTGCCTTGTCGCTATCAAGACAGTGTCATCAGCACAACACAGGTTGTTTATCTCATTACATATTCCCTGTATAATAATAACAAATTAGGTGATAGTACACATCCTTGTCTTACAACCCTCTTTATGCTCTGCAATGTTCCCAAATTGTTATTAATTCTCACAGCTGCTGTTTACTGCCAAAACATGTTCTTGATAATTCTCAAATTGTTTCCATCAGTGTTTAGCATTTCCAATAGTTTGATTATTTCATGTTTCGCTGTCAAATGCTTTTGTATAGTCAATGAAGCATAAAGTAAAGGTCTTTTTTTTTTTTAAAATTCAATAGCTCTTTCCGAAAGTCATGAGGATGTATATGGCATTGTTTATACCTTTTCCTTCTAAAACTCTTCACTGTTTTTCACTCATTTCTGGTTTAATCTTGTTTCTTTATCTCCTCTCAATGATTCTCAGTAACATTTTTGTCACATGACTCATAAGACTTATGGTGTGATAGTCTTCACATTTTATTGGTTTCTTTGGCAGAACAATAAATACAGATTTTAGGTCATTAGGACATATACACTGTCTGCAATCATGTCAGCTATCCACAAACACTGTATACAATCATGTCAGCTGTCCATAGACACTGTCTACAATCATGTCAGCTGTCCATAGACAGTCTATAATCATATCAACTGTCCCTAGAAACACTGTCTACAAACATGTCAGCTGTCCCTAGACACTGTCTACAATCATGTCAGCTGTCCATAGACACTGTCTACAATCATGTCAGCTGTCCCTAGATACTGTCTACAAACATGTCAGCTGTCCCTAGACACTGTCTACAAACATGTCAGCTGTCCCTAGACACTGTCTACAATCATGTCAGCTGTCCCTAGACACTGTCTACAATCATGTCAGCTGTCCATAGACACTGTCTACAAACATGTCAGCTGTCCCTAGACACTGTCTACAATCATGTCAGCTGTCCCTAGACACTGTCTACAATCATGTCAGCTGTCCCTAGATACTGTCTACAAACATGTCAGCTGTCCATAGACACTGTCTACAAACATGTCAGCTGTCCATAGACACTGTCTACAAACATGTCAGCTGTCCCTAGATACTGTCTACAATCATGTCAGCTGTCCCTAGACACTGTCTACAATCATGTCAGCTGTCCATAGACACTGTCTACAAACATGTCAGCTGTCCCTAGATACTGTCTACAATCATGTCAGCTGTCCCTAGATACTGTCTACAATCATGTCAGCTGTCCCTAGATACTGTCTAAAATCATGTCAGCTGTCCATAGACACTGTCTACACACTCATGTCAGCTATCTCTAGACACTGTCTCTAACCACATCGACTGTCGCTAAATGTCAGCCGTCTCCAGATCACTTGTATTTAGGTATGTCAATCATCTCTTATACTGACTGTATCTACTATACAACACATTAAAAAAAATCAAACACTTAACAGGTCTTCAGGCATTGTCTCTGTACATGGCTACTTGTGTCTAAATATCACACTTAACATAGCAATGGGCAGCTCATCTCGCTCCCTGAAATCTCAGCGCCTCCTCAGCCGAAGCCTTCCCCTCGTCAGCAACACTTTTGTCAAAGGGCACCCAGTACCAGCCCTTGTAATCTTGTCGGTCCGACTGGAGCTGGCGAACTTTCTTCTCCAGCATCCTGAGGCACAACAGTTGAGAATAAGTCATCGACAATTGGGGGACCAGACATAGATAATAGGGGGACTAGACAAAGAAAATGGGAATTCTATGTACACTCCAGAACCACCATTTCTAACTGCACTTTCTGCAGACCCATCTGTATAGACTCTGACCCATTGTTCTTGTGGGTATTCTTCATCAATATAACTGAGGGTGGCCATTCTGCGTTGTACACTATCTTGTTCTTTCTTGTCAAATATTCCTTTCACATTTGTCTGGATTTGTACTGTTAGTTTGCATTTCTCTCTCCATGGGGTTTGTTCTGGAATACTTTTAAGTGGGCAACCAATTTCTGGAAGGTCAGGAGTTTGTCTACATATTCTTTTTGCTTGATGTATAAAGCTGCTTCTTTATGATGAAGCTAACTAAGATTAATATACAACTCATTTCAGTATCTCAACGATGGAGCTAACTAAGACTAATACTCAACTCATCCCAGTATCTCAATGATGGAGCTAACTAAGACTAACATACAACTTATTTCAGTACCTTACTGATGGAGCTAACTACAACAAATATACAACTCATTCCAGTACCTTACTGATGGAGCAAACTACAACAAATATACAACTCATTCCAGTACCTTACTGATGGAGCTAACTACAACAAATATACAACTCATTCCAGTACCTTACTGATGGAGCTAACTACAACAAATATACAACTCATTCCAGTACCTTACTAATGGAGCTAACTACAACAAATATACAACTCATTCCAGTACCTTACTGATGGAAATAACTAGACTAACATACAACTCATTCCAGTACCTTACTGATGGAGCTAACTACATCAAATATACAACTCATCCCAGGACCTTACTGATGAAGCTAACTACAACAAATATACAACTCATTCCAGTACCTTACTGATGGAGCTAACTACAACAAAAATACAACTCATTCCAGTACCTTACTGATGGAGCTAACTACAACAAATATACAACTCATTCCAGTACCTTACTGAGGGAGCTTACTACAACGAATATACAACTCATTACAGTACCTTACTGATGGAGCTAACTACAACAAAAATACAACTCATTCCAGTACCTTACTGATGGAGCTAACTACAACAAATATACAACTCATTCCAGTACCTTACTGATGGAGCTAACTAAGACTAACATACAAATCATTCCAGTACCTTACTGATGGAGCTAACTACAACAAATATACAACTCATTCCAGTACCTTACTGGTGGAGCTAACTAAGACTAACATACAACTCATCCCAGTACCTTACTGATGGAGCTAACTACAACAAATATACAACTCATCCCAGTACCTTACTGATGGAGCTAACTACAACAAATATACAACTCATTCCAGTACCTTACTGATGGAGCTAACTACAACAAATATACAACTCATTCCAGTACCTTACTGATGGAGCTAACTACAACAAATATACAACTCATTCCAGTACCTTACTGATGGAGCTAACTACAACGAATATACAACTCATTCCAGTACCTTACTGATGGAGCTAACTAAGACTAACATACAGCTCATCCCAGTACCTTACTGATGGAGCTAACTACAACAAATATACAACTCATCCAAGTACCTTACTGATGGAGCTAACTACAACAAATATACAACTCATCCCAGTACCTTACTGATGGAGCTAACTACAACAAATATACAACTCATTACAGTACCTTACTGATGGAGCTAACTACAACAAAAATACAACTCATTCCAGTACCTTACTGATGGAGCTAACTAAGACTAACATACAACTCATTCCAGTACCTTACTGGTGGAGCTAACTAAGACTAACATACAACTCATTCCAGTACCTTACTGATGGAGCTAACTACAACAAATATACAACTTACTGATGGAGCTAACTAAGACTAACATAGGTCTCACCTCCAGTATCTGGCCTCTCGTTGCTGATGCAGGTAGTGCATGGTTTTCTCATAATCTTTCTGTGGTTCATTATACACATACTTGGCAAACCACCTCTTGATGGGGCTCTGAGGGGGGGAGACAGACAGGGACAATGAGCTACTGGACTATACAGAAAAATATGCTTCTGGGCAATGGAGACACAGAGAGAAATATCACACTGGATAACATAGAGAGAAATACAACACTGGACAACAGAGAGAGAAATATGACACTAGACAACAGAGAGAGAGAAATATGACACCAGACAACAGAGAGAGAAATATGACACTGGACAACAGAGAGAGAAATATGACACCAGACAACAGAGAGAGAAATATGACACCAGACAACAGAGAGAGAAATATGACACCAGACAACAGAGAGAGAAATATGACACTGGACAACAGAGAGAGAAATATGACACTGGACAACAGAGAGAGAGAGGTGTGATGAAATAGGGTTACGTGAGTTGAAAAGAGTGCGTTTGTCCAAACAAATACGTGACATCTGACACTGACGGATGTATACGCATGATAAGCGGGCAAGCCAAGAAACTAGATTGGAACGCTGGTCAGGAAAGACCACACGAAGATGCACTAGAGAGACTAAGGTCAACAAGTGCTCAGTGATGAAAGACGAAGGTGTCAGATAAGACAGACCACGAGAGCATCCTGGAATGCAAGCAACCACCTGAAGACGATAACATGGAACAAGACAAAGGGTGACAGATGGTGATTGATAACCCACGCCAGGAAGAGAGAAGAGGAGGCGAGCGAGGGGAGAGAAGGGAGTCAGTAACTAGACACTTGAGAGGGCGGTTGACAAGAACTCTGCTTCGCTAGAAGAAATATAGTTAACTGGTTTTGCTTTACTAGAAGAGATTAAAGAACTTATCGTCAAACATATGAATAGCCAGTAATAAGATACTAGAATGTTATAATGTGGCTTAAATGGAATATATTCGTTCTGCATAAATTGAAATTATATTGTTGAATAAACTTAGTACCACTCAATTGTTTCATCATTGACCGTATTGTCAAACACAATCAATCAACTTACAACCAGCATCTTATATACCAAGTTCCGATTAGGCACATCTATGCTTGGGAGATGTGAAAGATACAACTGTGTCACAGAGGGAGAGAAATGTAACATAGGAAACTATATTTAAAGAGAGAAATTGACACCGGACAAGAGAAAGAGAGAATTATGACACTGGTCAAAACAGACAAAGGAAAATATGCTACTGGACAACAGAGAGACAAAGAGAAAGAGAAAAATATTACACTGGTAAATATGGAGGGAGAGAGAGAAATATGGCACTGGACGATAGAGAGAGAGAGATGTGCTACTGGACAACAGGCAGACAGAAAGAGAAAGAGAATATGCTACTGTACAACAGAGAGAGAAAGAAATATGCCTCTCTACAACAAAGAGAAAGAAAGAAATATGCTACTGTACAACAAAGAGAGAGATAGGGTGTGTGAAATATGCTACTGGACAACACAGAGAGAGAGAGAGAGAGAGAGAGAGAGAGAAACAAAAATGCTACTGTACAGCAGAGAGAATGAAAAATGCTAAGGTACAACAAAGGGAGAAAGGGTGCACAATTTACATATAGAGAGAAATATGCTACTATCTAACAGAGAGAGAGAGAGAGAGAGAGAGAGAGAGAGAGAGAGAGAGAGAGAGAGAGAAAGAGAGAGAAATAAATAAATATGCTACTATACAACAGAGAGAGGGAATATGCCACTATACAACAAAGAGAAACAGAAAGAGAAAAAGAAAGAAATATTCTACTGTACAACACAATAATAGAATAGTCCTTGTGCAAAACACAATAACAGAGCAGTCTGCTGTGTACAATACAATAACAGAGCAGTCTTCTGTGTACAATACAATAACAGAGCAGTCTGCTGTGTACAATACAATAACAGAGCAGTCTGCTGTGTACAATACAATAACAGAGCAGTCTGCTGTGTACAATACAATAACAGAGCAGTCTGCTGCTGTGTACAATACAATAACAGAGCAGTGCTGTGTACAATACAATAACAGAGCAGACTGCTGTGTACAATACAATAACACGGCAGTCTGCTGTGTACAATACAACAACAGAGCAGTCTGCTGTGTACAATACAATAACAGAGCAGTCTGCTGTGTACAATACAACAACAGAGCAGTCTGCTGTGTACAATACAATAACAGAGCAGTCTGCTGTGTACAATACAACAACAGAGCAGTCTGCTGTGTACAATACAACAACAGAGCAGTCTGCTGTGTACAATACAATAACACAGCAGTCTGCTGTGTACAATACAATAACAGAGCAGTCTGCTGTGTACAATACAACAACACAGCAGTCTGCTGTGTACAATACAACAGAGCAGTCTGCTGTGTACAATACAACAATAGAGCAGTCTGCTGTGTACAATACAATAACAGAGCAGTCTTCTGGGTACAATACAACAACAGAGCAGTCTGCTGTGTACAATACACCAATAGAGCAGTCTGCTGTGTTCAATACAACAATAGAGCAGTCTGCTGTGTACAATACAATAACAGAGCAGTGTGTTGTGTACAATACAATAACAGAGCAGTCTGCTGTGTACAATACAACAACAGAGCAGTCTGCTGTGTACAATACACCAATAGAGCAGTCTGCTGTGTACAATACACTAGTAGAGCAGTCTGCTGTGTACAATACACCAATAGAGCAGTCTGCTGCTTACAATACACCAATAGAGCAGTCTGCTGTGTACAACACTGTGAGGCAAACCTTATAGTATTCCCATTCCTTGGGTTCATAGCCTTCAGGGATGTCAGAGAGTTCAGCAGGACCTGCAACAGTCACACAATATGATCATTACATCTACACAACATAGACATAAAATCTACCCAACCTGGTCATTACATCTACACAACATGTTCATTAAATCTGCACAACATGGTCACTATATCTACCCAACATGGTCATTACATCTACCCAACATGGTCATTACATCTACCCAACATGGTCATTACATCTACACAACATGGCCATTACATCTACCCAACATGGTCATTACATCTACCCAACATGGTCATTACATCTACACAACATGGCCATTACATCTACACAACATGGCCATTACATCTACACAACATGGTCATTACATCTACACAACATGGCCATTACATCTACCCAACATGGCCATTACATCTACCCAACATGGTCATTACATCTACACAACATGGCCATTGCATCTACAAAATATGATCACTATAGCTTCACAACATGATCACTAAATCATGGTCAACATGGTCACTACATCAAACGAGTGAACAAGCTTTATTTTTAAAGGGTTAAAAATTGGGCACGCAGGCCCGTCTGACATTCGGCCCTTCTAAGCACTCATCTTTCAGAGTACCAATGCCTGTTATCAATAATAAGAATTCCGGTCAAAATGGACGCTAGGCGGGCCACTGTTTTTGGAGCAGAGGCAATTTTTTTGCTTCTGCTGGATGGTGGCCGATGCATTTTTGTTCCATTTGTAGACTGGATATAGTTTTGTCGACCAGCTTTTGAGTTGAATGCATGGCGTGACACTGTGCTGCAGATTTTATTTGGAATGTTTTTTCGACTGTGACCAACGTGGTGGTGTGAAGTGTAGATTCAGAAAATGGTGCGATGCTTGTTGTCACAATTTTGGTGGTGCTATTATGTGATTAAAATTGATCGTGTGGCCAACTGCAGATCTGTTGGTGACTTCTGCTACCATCAATGATGAACTGCATTTCTAATGTCGGACTGTTTGTGTTAGCACTTCGGATGGCTACCATATGCTTTAATGCGAGAGTATGCTAGATATGCTGAGGCAGCAGTTTGTCAATCTTTCCACAAGGGACTGTGATAAACATTCTGTGTGTTTTTCGTTGGCATGGGAGCGGAGCAAAGATGGGGTGAACCGTTTGCTATGAAGCTGAAACTAGGCCTACCAGACTATCAATAATGCATGTTATGTATATAATAAAAATTATACATTATAAAATAATTAATATACACATCATGTATACATAATCTTACACATACTCTTACATTCTCATACATACAAATGCACAGATATACATAATACATGCACCTACATACAAATACACATACATACATACATACACATACATGCATACATATATAGGCTACATCTACATGCATACATAATACAAACATGCATCCATACATACACCAACACACATACATACAAACACAAACATAGACATACATGCACACACACATTACATAAATACACACCTACACATGCATGCATATACAGACACCCACATACACTCACATACATACCTAAATACACAGACATACTTACACAGCTACATAGGCATAAATACACCCACCAACATGTATACATGCATGCACACATACATGCACACACTCATTACATACATACACATATACAGACACCCACATACTTACATAAATACATACTTGCATACACAATACATACACACCCACAATCACACATACACCCAAATACTTACAAAATACATACATAAATACACACACACATGCGTAAATTTACATACACATATACATACACTTAAAAAACACTCACCCCCCCCCCCCCCCCACAATCACACACCACATAAAAAATACATACATCCACACAGATACACATCCATAATGCACACCCATATACTTACATATTTGCATACTTGCATACATACATATATACAAACACATACAGTTACATATACATACATACATACATTCACACATAAATATATACATCTACCCAACATGGTCATTACATGCACACAACATGGTCACTACACCTATACAACATGACCACCACACCTATACAACATGCCCACTACACCTATACAACATGGTCACTACACCTATACAACATGGTCACTACACCTATACAACATGACCACTACACCTATACAACATGACCACTACACCTATACAACATGACCACTACACCTATACAACATGACCACTACACCTATACAACATGACCACTACACCTATACAACATGACCACTACACCTATACAACATGACCACTACACCTATACAACATGGTCACTACACCTATACAACATGACCACTACACCTATACAACATGACCACTACACCTATACAACATGACTACACCTATACAACATGACCACTACATCTGCACAACATGGTCATTACACCTACAAAAGGTCATTACATTTACACAAAATGGTCTTTACACCTAAACAACATGGTCTCTACATCTTCACAATATGGTCATTACATCTACACAATATGGTCATTACATCTACACAATATGGTCATTACATCTACACAATATGGTCATTACATTTACACAATATGGTCATTACATCTACACAATATGGTCATTACATCTACACAATATGGTCATTACATTTACACAATATGGTCATTACATTTACACAATATGGTCATTACATTTACACAATATGGTCATTACATTTACACAATATGGTCATTACATCTACACAATATGGTCATTACATCTACAAACATAGTAATTAGATCTACAAAACATGGTAATTACATCTATAAACATGGTCATTACATCTACACAATATGGTCACAAAAAGGCAAAAATAATCCAATATGGTCATAACATCTACACATCATGGGCACTACATCTACCCAACAACAACACAACATGGTCACTACACCTACACAAAATGGCAACTACTTCCAATATGCTCACACCATTTACACAACATGGTCACTACATCTACACATGGACACAACATCTACACAAGACAGTCAAATCTACACAATATGGTCATTACATCTATCAAACAACTACCCAACCTGGTCACTATATCTACCCAACAACATGGTCCCTTCATCTACCAAATGACTACACAACATGGTCACTACATCTTTCCAACAACTACACAACAACTACACAACATAGTCACTACATCTACCAAACAACTGCACAACATGGTCACTACATCTACACAACATGGTCACTACACCTACACAACATAGTCACTACATCTACCCAACAACCACACAACAAGGTCACTACATCTGCACAACATGGTCACTACATCTACACAGCAAAAACATAACATGGTCACTACATCTCCCCAACAACTACACACCATGGTCACTACATCTCCCCAGCAACTGCACACCATGGTCACTACATCTCTCCAGCAAGGTCACTACATCTCCCCAGCAACTGCACACCATGGTCACTACATCTCCCCAGCAACTACACACCATGGTCACTACATCTCCCCAGCAACTGCACACCATGGTCACTACATCTCTCCAGCAAGGTCACTACATCTCCCCAGCAACTGCACACCATGGTCACTACATCTCCCCAGCAACTACACACCATGGTCACTACATCTCCCCAGCAACTGCACACCATGGTCACTACATCTCTCCAGCAAGGTCACTACATCTCCCCAGCAACTACACAGCATGGTCACTACATCTCCCCAGCAACTACACAGCATGGTCACTACATCTCCCCAGCAACTACACAGCATGGTCACTACATCTCCCCAGCAACTACACAGCATGGTCACTACATCTCCCCAGCAACTACACAACATGGTCACTACATCTCCCCAGCAACTACACAACATGGTCACTACATCTCCCCAGCAACTACACAACATGGTCACTACATCTCCCCAGCAACTACACAGCATGGTCACTACATCTCCCCAGCAACTACACAGCATGGTCATTACATCTACCCAACAACTACACAACATGGTCACTACATCTACCAAACAACCATACAACAAGGTCACTACATCTACCCAACAACCATACAACAAGGTCACTACATCTACCCAACAACCATACAAGGTCACTACATCTGCACAACATGGTTTCTACATCTACCCAACAACCATACAACAAGGTCACTACATCTGCACAACATGGTCTCTACATCTACCCAACAACCATACAACAAGGTCACTACATCTGCACAACATGGTCACTACATCTACCCAGCAACTACACAACATGGTCATTACATCTACCCAGCAACTACACAACATGGTCATTACATCTACCCAGCAACTACACAACATGGTCATTACATCTACCCAGTAACTACACAACATGGTCATTACATCTACCCAGCAACTACACAACATGGTCATTACATCTACCCAGCAACTACAGAACATGGTCATTACATCTACCCAGCAACTACACAACATGGTCATTACATCTACCCAGCAACTACACAACATGGTCATTACATCTACCCAGCAACTACACAACATGGTCATTACATCTACCCAGCAACTACACAACATGGTCATTACATCTACCCAGCAACTACACAACATGGTCATTACATCTACCCAGCAACTACACAACATGGTCATTACATCTACCCAGCAACTTCACAAAATGGTCATTACATCTACCCAGTAACTACACAACATGGTCACTACATATGCCCAACAATTACACAACATGGTCACTACATATGCCCAACAATTACACAACATGGTCACTACATCTACACAACATGGTCACTACATATGCCCACAAATTACACAACATGGTCACTACATCTACACAACTGCACATCATGCTTACTACATCTACCAAACAACTACACAACATGGTCACTACAACTACCTAACAACTATAAAACATGGTCACTACAACTACCTAACAACTATACAACAAGGTTACTACATCTAATCAAAATCTACATAAAATTGTCACTACATCCACACATGGTCACTAAATCTATCCAACAACTACACAACTTGGTCACTACATCTAGCCAGCAACTATACAACATGGTCACTACATCTACCCAACAACTGCACAACATGGTCACTACATCTAAACAACAGTCACTAGATTTACACAAAATGGTCACTACATCTACCCAACAACTGCACAACATGGTCACTACATCTACCCAACAACTACACATCATCAATACTCACAAGTCAGAAATCATCAACACATCATACATGTTTTACATTCAACCAAGAATCATGTCAAAATTAGTATAAGAAAAAAAAAAGTTTAAACTCAAGTGAGGCTTAAATGTATTTTAAATTTAAAGAAGAATAACCTACCATATGTAAAGACAAATGGCAATACAGCACCATAACATATGAATGTCAGAACATCAGGACTGTGAATGTCAGAATACAGCACCATGACATGGTATTTGAATGTCAGAATACAGCACCATGACATGGTATTTGAATGTCAGAATACAGCAACATGACATTGTATGTGAATGTCAGAATACAGCACCATGATATGGTGAGTGAATGTTAAAATACAACGCCACGACATGTCGGAATGTCAGAATACAGCATCATGACATGTGTGAATGTTAAAATACAGCACCATGACGTGTGTGAATGTTAAAATACAGCACCATGACATGTGTGAATGTTAAAATACAGCACCATGACATGTGTGAATGTTAAAATACAGCACCATGACATGTGTGAATGTTAAAATACAGCACCACGACATGTGTGAATGTTAAAATACAGCACCATGACATGTGTGAATGTTAAAATACAGCATCATGACATGTGTGAATGTCAGCATACAGCACCATGACATATGTGGATGTTAGAATACAGCAACATGACATATGAGAATGTCAGAATACAGTACCATGAAATGGTGTCTGAATGTCAGAAAACAGCACCATGAGATGATGTGTGAATGTCTGAATAAAGGACCATGAAATAATGTGTGAGTGGTATGTAAAAAAAAAAAAAAAAAAAAACAGCACCATGAAATGATTTGTGAATGTCAAAATACAGCATCATGACATGTGTGAATGTCAGAATACAGTACCATGACATGTGTGAATGTCAAAATACAGCACCATGACATGGTATGTGAATGTCAGAATACAGCACCATGACATGGTATGTGAATGTGAGAATACAGTACCATGATCCGTGTGAATTTCAGAATTCAGAACAATAACATTGTGGATCAATGTCAGAATACAGTACTATGACATGTTGTGTGAATATCAGAATACAGCACAATGACATGTAAATATCAGAATACAGTACCACGACATAGTGTTTGAGTGTCAGAATACAGCACCCTGACTTGTGTGAATGTCAGAATATACAGCACCATGACTTGTGTGAACATCAGAATACAGCACCATTACTTGTGTGAATGTCAGAATACAGCACCATAACACATGTGAATGTCAGAATGCAACACCCTGAAACGTGTGAATGTCAGAATGCAGCACCATGTCATGTGTGAATATCAGAACACAGCAGCATGACATGGTGTGTGAATATCAGAATACAGCACCATTACTTGTGTGAATGTCAGAATACAGCACCATGACATGTGTGAATGTCAGAATACATCAGAGTGACATGGTGTGTGAATATCAGAATACAGTACCTGGATATGATGTTTGAATGTCAGAATACAGTACCACAATATGTTTAAACGTCAGAATGCAGTACCACTATATGATGTTTGAATGTCACAATACAGAATCGATGTTAACAGCTGGAGAGCATTCCACCTATTAGTGTCTTCAAGACCCCTGAAGATGTCACAAACATATACAATGTCACAGAAATAATATCACTGAAGTCACACACGCAATGTCACAGACAAAATATCACTTACCAGAAGTCACACATATGATGTCACAGACACAATATCACTTTTCTGAGTTCATATACATGATGTCACAGAGACACATCACTTAGCTGAAGTCACATACGAGATGACACAGACACAATATCACTTACCTAAAGCCACACACATGATGACACAGACACAATATCACTTACCTAAAGCCACACACATGATGACACAGACACAATATCACTTACCTAAAGCCACACACATGATGACACAGACACAATATCACTTACCTAAAGCCACACACATGATGACACAGACACAATATCACTTACCTAAAGCCACACACATGATGATGACACAGACACAATATCACTTAGCTGAAACCACACATGAGATGTCACAGACACAATATCACTTAGCTAAAAGCCACACATAATGTCCCAGACACAATATCACTTAGCTCAAGTCACACACATGATGTCCCAGGCACAATATCACGTAGCTGAAGCCACACACATGATGTCACAGACACAATATGGCTTAGCTGAAAACACACATGAGATGTCACAGACACAATATAACTTAGCTGAAAACACACATGAGATGTCACAGACACAATATCACTTAGCTGAAACCACACATGAGATGTCACAGACACAATATCACTGAGCTTAAGTCACACACATGATGACCCAGACACAATATCACTGAGCTTAAGTCACACACATGATGTCACAGACACAATATCACTTAGCTGAAGCCACACATGAGATGTCACAGACACAATATTATTTACCACAAGTCGTACATGATGTCACATACACAATATCACTAAATATATACATCTACCCAACATGGTCATTACATGCACACAACATGGTCACTACACCTATACAACATGACCACTACACCTATACAACATGACCACTACACCTATACAACATGACCACTACACCTATACAACATGACCACTACACCTATACAACATGACCACTACACATACAGCTGAAGTCACACACATATCACAGTGTGTATGTGATACTGTGCCTGTGATATTAAGTACTCACAATGCCATATATACAAAGCCGAACTACATGATGGCACAGCTATGTTGTCATCTGTTAGGATATGCTGCCCAACAACAGAAGCCCTGCCTCCTGCTCCAAAGCCAGTGGTCAGCTGGTGGCACAGCATCAACTGTGTCGTCTACCACTGTCCTTCCTGCCAGTGCCAGATCGGATGTGATTATATAAAATAACGCTGACACCAACCAATAGTAAATCTATCATATGTGCATATGGGCTGAAACTAAATACACCCTGGATATAAACAGACAGAAGCAACACAATCAGAAAACAGTCAAACAACAACGAGCAGACAATGCATATCATAGTACACAATAAAGACAACAGTCACAATTATCCGACGCAAAAGTTAACAAGTGACACAACTTATCTGAAGCACATGTCACTCAATAAGTACTCACCAATGAAAATATTAGCGTAAGTGATGAGAGAAAACATCGGCACTAGGCCCAGAAGCAGGTAGAAATGCTGCAACAAAATGTGACACTGCATCAGGGTTAGTGGCCACATTCACTAACTTGTACCGCACACGCGGAACTTTATGCACATTTGGTACTTCATGCACACATGGTACTTAGTGCACACACAGACATACACATACAGATATAGTTTTTTGACACACACATGTGTGTGTATATATATTCCAGACTTGGTGGCAGAGAGAATTGAGCAGAACGGTGACTGATATTAACATTAGTAAAACTGAATGCATTGAAATTCCAAGGAACCTAAAGTTACAATCTGCTTTATATTAAATAATGGCATAACAATCCTTTCAGTCAATCCCTTTAAACTGCAGGCTACCTAATGATATGGGATAAAAGATGCCATGTCGAGACAAAAATGTCAAAAATATGCACACAGAAAAAACAGATATTCACAGCTGCACTCACCAAAACTACTAGGAAAACAGAAACTGAATTATGGAACAGTAAAGTAACAGAGAGGGGCAGAAAAATAAGTGTAGAAAGTTGAATAAATAGGTTGGAATAATCCATTTCATTAAAATAAGATGTCACAGTCAGATAAGTGAGCTAGACAAGTCATCTAGTTCTAGGGGGGGGGGGGGGGTGTAAAAAGAGAGAACAGAAGGGATAGTGAGACAAAGAGTAACAGGAAGAGGTGAAGAGAAACAAACACCAGGCGAGGGTGTTGCAGGCAGACAGAGAAAGAGAAAGAAGAGACACACAGAGTGAAGGTTATACAAAGAGAAAGAAGAAGGGAGAGACACATCAAGAGAGGAATGGAGACAATAAAAATGTTTATGAACTATCAAACACTATTGTAAAAACTTGCATCTTTAACCACCAATCCTGTACAGTCAATTCTGTATGAAGCCAACAACAGAAACTTTGGGCTCTGAAGCCAGTAGGTAGCCAAGCAGAGTCAACAAGTCTCAAGCTACCACTGTTGAACATATTCAATGACGACCCAGTACTAGACCAGCCAACAGTTCCCTTCCTCACCCTTCACTAGACCAGCCAACAGTTCCCTTCCTTACCCAGTACTAGACCAGCCAATAGTTCCCTTCCTCACCCAGTACTAGACCAGCCAATAGTTCCCTTCCTCACCCTTTACTAGACCAGCCAACAGTTCCCTTTCTCACCCTTTACTAGACCAGCCAACAGTTCCCTTCTTAACCCTTTACTAGACCAGCCAACAGTTCCCTTCCTCACCCTGTACTAGACCAGCCAACAGTTTCCTTTCTCACCCTTTACTAGACCAGCCAACAGTTCCCTTCCTAACCCTGTACTAGACCAGCTAACAGTTCCTTTCTCACCCTTTACTAGACCAGCCATCAGTTTCCTTTCTCACCCTTTACTAGACCAGCCAACAGTTCCTTTCTTAACCCTTTACTAGACCAGCCAACAGTTCCCTTTCTCACCCTTTACTAGACCAGCCAACAGTTTCCTTTCTCACCCTTTACTAGACCAGCCAACAGTTCCCTTCCTAACCCTTTACTAGACCAGCCAACAGTTCCCTTTCTAACCCTTTACTAGACCAGCCAACAGTTCCCTTCTTAACCCTTTACTAGACCAGCCAACAGTTTCCTTTCTCACCCTTTACTAGACCAGCCAACAGTTTCCTTTCTCACCCTTTACTAGACCAGCCAACAGTTTCCTTTCTCACCCTTTACTAGACCAGCCAACAGTTCCCTTCCTAACCCTTTACTAGACCAGCCAATAGTTCCCTTCCTCACCCTTTACTAGACAAGCCAAGTTTCCTTCCGGATGATGGGACAGATGGCACCTTTTGATGGGACAGATGGCACCTTTTGATGGGACAGATGGCACCAGATGATGGGACAGATGGCACTTAATAAGGATGGTCTCTAGTTACACATGACATGTTTAGGCTCCACAAGATCACTCACAAAGTCGTCCTTGAAGCGAGTCCACTGGAACTGTGATGGGATGAGAGGAATTTGGTTGGCATGACCTCCATTTCTCACAGATACTGAAACAGGCAACAGTCAGTAACTGCAGTCAACAAATAACAGATCATCAGTAAATGCAACAAATCAGTGGCCGCAACAAATCATTGGTTAATGAGTGAAGGCAACAAATCATTGGTTAATCACTGATGTCAACAGATCATTAGTCAATCAGTGAAAGTGACAAATCATAGGTCAATCATTGAAAGCAACAAATCACTGGTCAATCAGTGAAGGCAACAAATCATTGGTTAATAACTGATGTCAACAGATCATTAGTCAATCAGTGAAAGTGACAGATCATAGGTCAATCATTGAAAGCAACAAATCACTGGTCAACCAGTGAAGGCAACAAATCATTGGTCAATCACTGATGTCAACAGATCATTAGTCAATCAGTGAAAGTGACAAATCATAGGTCAATCATTGAAAGCAACAAATCAATGGTCAATCAGTGTAGGCAACAAATCAATGGTCAATCACTGATGTCAACAAATCATTGGTCAATCACTGATGTCAACAGATCATTGGTCAATCAGTGATGTCAACAGATCATTAGTCAATCAGTGATGTCAACAGATCATTAGTCAATCAGTGAAAGTGACAAATCATAGGTCAATTATTGAAAGCAACAAATCACTGGTCAATCAGTGAAGGCAATAAATCATTAGTCAATCACTGATGTCAACAGATCATTAGTCAATCAGTGAAAGTGACAAATCATAGGTCAATCATTGAAAGCAACAAATCATTGGTTAATCAGTGAAGGCAACAAATCATTGGTTAATGAGTGAAGGCAACAAATCATTGGTTAGTGAGTGAAGGCAACAAATCATTGGTTAATGAGTGAAGGCAACAAATCATTGGTTAATGAGTGAAGGCAACAAATCATTGGTCAATCAGTAAAGACAACAAATCATTAGTCAATCAGTGAAAGTGACAAATCATAGGTCAATCATTGAAAGCAACAAATCACTGGTCAATCAGTGAAGGCAACAAATCACTGGTCAATCAGTGTAGGCAACAAATCATTGGTCAATCACTGATGTCAACAGATCATTGGTCAATCACTAAAATTGGCAATCACTTAAAAACAGTTGCAGTAAAGAAGGCATCACAAGTGAAGGATTTGTTTTCCTGATTCCCAATATAACATACAGTTGGGTTTGCAGGTCAAGTTGTTTCACTGATTGCCTACATAACATAGTGTTTGATTTGCAGGTCAAGTTGTTTCACTGATTGCCTACATAACATAATGTTCGATTTGCAGGTCAAGTTGTTTCACTGATTGCCTACATAACAATGTTAGATTTGCAGGTCAAGTTGTTTCACTGTTTGCCTACATAACATAATGTTAGATTTGCAGGTCAAGTTGTTTCACTGATTGCCTACATAACATAGTGTTAGATTTGCAGGTCAATTTGTTTCACTGATTGCCTACATAACATACAGTTTTAGGTTTACTGGTCAAGTTTTTTTCATTGATTTTCTACATAAAAAACTGTTAGATTTGTGAACATTTTATTTTGTCATTAATGATTAAACCATTGACGCCACGGTCACACATTATGCAAATGGCCGATGGCTATGTTTGGTTACTTTCATCGCACCACCTGCAAACATAACTGTTAATGCTCGCTATCACTGTAAAATCCCGAAGATGTTGTCCATTCATTTATGGTTCTTTAAGGGATCTGTAGTGCTCAAAGTAAATGGAGAAGAGGAATTTTATAGTGAACTCCCTTGTCGGTGATGTGTTAGACCAGTGGTCTTCAACCTTTTAGGTGGTGCTCCTCCCCTCCCCAAACGTAACAAAATGTCATTAAAAAGAAGAGAACAAAAAAAAAAAAAAAAAAAACTGACATTTGCAGATGACATCCTTGCATACAGGCAGGGGAGAGATAGGGAACAGACACCGCAATAGCCTCAAGCAACAGTAGACAAAGTGAGTGGCAGGTGTACTGAGATGACCACTGTCATCTATCTTTTTTTATGATGCTCGTTAGACAACAGTGCTGTTAGAACCAATGTCACCAGCCTCACAACAAACATAAGAAACAGTAAAAGAGAAGACAAACTGAGGTAGCTGGAGATCACCTTTAACAGGAGCCTGTCCTTCATGGACCATGTGGAGGCAGCTGTGAACATGGAGGAAAAAATGCTGCTCACAGTGTACACGCACTTATTATTTCTGTGATGGATTATGGACTGTGGATGATCACCGTATCAAAGAGTCAGCTGGTGAAGCTTGAACACATACAGAATGAAGCCATGCAGGTGATTCTAGGATGTATAAGAGACACTTGAGTAGTCTGTATGTGATACATATTTGTACTGTCAGCTATTTAAGACAGGCTCAAAGTGCTGCCAGCCAGGTCATACCTTAAGGTAACAGCTGAACACTTTTTTCATGAAGTCGTGGACACAGGTTGATTATAAGGAAGTCTTGGAAGGCAAAAGCAGAAGACACAATTAGAGATGCGTGTATGCTAGAAAACACTGGCAGAGGAGAAGAGTGTGTCAAAGTGTCAGAGCTTTGTGTGTTCTAATCACATCTGGCCAAGAATGCAGGGAAAACAGGCACTGCAGAATCACAAATTCAACAACTGATTTATGTTCATTCTTGTCCAGGTGATGTAATTATCTACACAGATGGCTGTTTTGAGAGGCAGAAGAAGTGGGTATATTACAAAAGCGAATGGAAGATGCTTAGTGCAACAAAGTCCAGCACATGATAGGTGGAAGCAGTCACAGCAGCTTTCTGCTGGCTTGAAAACCAGATGTACACACATGTCGTGATTGTAACCGACTCACAAAGCATGTGCAGAGCACAGTTTCAACCAGAAGTCCCAGGTAGTTAAGAGTTCTTTGGATAATCTCTCCCCAATAGGCAGGAGGGTTCAGAAATGAGCAGGCAGGCAGACTGGCTGGTTCTGTACCAAGGGATGTGATTTTATGCAAACAAAAAACTAGATGTCACAGCTTTGGGAGCCACTCAACAATGCACAGGCATTCATCAATCACTATTGTTTAGAGAGACAAGGGGATCTGGTTGACACAATACAAGAAGGACATAAAATCAAACATCTATTAGTGTTTTGGAGCTCTCTGCTGAATTTGAGGATGGAGTGCTTATGGGATGTCAGTTCTTAGCTCAACACTGAAAGTGCAAGTTGAAAAATAAATAAAAGGCTGGGCAGAAAATGCCATCCAATCCCATCCAACTGTGAAGGTTGCATTATTTAAAAAAGAAAATAATTTAGAAAATGCTGAGAGGCAAAGAACCAACAGACTGCATATCCAATAAGCAAGATCCGTAGTGTAAAACTTCTGGAATAAGACCAAAGTGCTGAGGTGTACGAACAACCTGAACTTTCTACCTGAGTTTCCAAATAGTGAATGATAAGATTGAAGAATTAGAATGGAACTGGAATTCGACTTTTCCTTTCACCTGCGTGAAATAAGTGCTGTGTTCATATGCAGAATGTCGCGCATCACGAGTAATGAAGACCACTTTTTATCCAAAGTAGCAATGATTATAAGTACGAAGGTGGCTGATTAGTTTAATATGAGCCCGGAAAGTTCTTGAGCAGTGCAGACAACAGGTGGAAGCCGCATTAAGTATGGGATTAGCAATATAGTTCTTTCTAGTCTGCCTCCATTTCTCTGCCTGTGTAACCTCTGCTGTCTGGCAGGCTGATACACCATTCACCATGCCTGCGGGATGTACGTCACCCAGAACGGTCCTGTACAGCAGCTGTCTATGTCACTGTATTGATGCCAACAGAACTGAGAGCAGTGTGAGTGTCTTTATATATATATATATATATATATATATATATATATATATATATATATATATATATATATATATATATATATATATATATATATACTTATAGTATAAGTTACAGTGCTTTTTCTGTCCTCCCTGGAACCTCTTAGTCTTACAGTTACACTGCTGGAGTTCGCCTAAAATACTCTCCCTTTTGGAGGCGATAGTCTGGTATGCGACCAGCCTAACTCAGTTGATGATTCTTCAGTATCTTATGGATACTAGGCAGGTTTGCCCTATCAAGAACCAGTGTGTGGTCTTGAACCCTATCAGTATCACAGTCACAATCTTGCCATTTGATTTTGAGCAGCTTCCTGACCTGCTGTGACTGACTGACTGACTAGTAACTAGTTATTAATAAATTATATGAAACTGTCACGCAGAGTGAATAAAGCTACAACACAAGTAAATAGGTACCGTACAGTGTCCCTACCGTGTCCTTGCAACTGCAGCTGCCTGTTTAGCGGGGTTATCACGGGTCTACCGTAAGAAGCCAACCGAAACGCCTGCCTTAGGACGGGACTCAACAGACTCATCGCCGCCATCTTTCTGTCACCTTGAGCCAGCTATTTGAACGGACATTTGTTCACTCACAATCGTTGTATATATTGTGTTCCAAAAATTGAGCGGTCAGCTAACCATCCTTACTGCTCGCCCATAACATAACATAATTGGTGTAAACAGTCAAAATGATGGCACGCTTTTTTTCGGGATTAAAGCAAAGGGCGCAATTTTTCTATTTTCGCTCGCATGTAATGTGACATTTTTATCGGAATGGGATTTGAACCGTGCAATGGAGTACATATTGAGGATAGGATCTGAGCACCTATGGACATTCCCGCATTGCAAACATGATAACACAACTAACAACTACTAACTAACAAATTAACCGCCTGCCCAACAATTCAGTCTTATGTGGCCTCATCCATTCCTCAGTATCACCCCCCCCCGCCCCATATTGCTACCCCATGCTACTTAGTGTTAGTAAGTTCATGTCCCCCAAAACAGTTGTCCGGCCTGCTGATTAGTCTGTGTAAGACTCTCACATTTTTTTACTAGCTTTAGTAATACTTAAATTTTCTACACTATCCGCTGTGAATATGGTCAGGTATATTTAAACCTTGTTTTTGTTTCAGATTATTTTCTTGTAAGGCATAAATTATCTACACATGTCGTAATTGTCACTGTCTCACAAAAAGTGTTGAGAAAAGTGCAGAAAATCATGCTCCGTGTAGAATGGCAAGCATCGCTTCAGAGATCTCGGGTAGTTAACATTCTTTTGATATTTACTCCAGGTGGGCTGGGAAACGAGCAGGCAACCAGATAGACTGACCGATTCTGCACCACTCAGTGGCGAACTGATGTATGACAAACTAAATGTTGTGAGGGCCCTTTGGGAGCTAATAAACAGTGCGGTGGTAGAAATAGATCACTATGGTCTAAGGAGAATGGCGCTGCGCGGTGTTACAGTGTCTTCTGCCTGAGCCATCCATGACTTAACTGCACCAAGAGCTTCGAGCAAAGGGTGGTCTGTGTCTGCAGCAAGATGAGCTGTTGAGCGGCCCTTTAAACTTGAAACAGGTGTGATCAGTCATTTTACGCTTGCTTGTGAAGCCACTGAGGAGGAGACTGGAACACCTATGGATGCTCTCCGCAGTGCTGTGGTGATAGAACCTGTAGTATCGGAGAGTCACGATAAAGCCCACTAATTGACACAATAATTGTGTCACCAGCAGGAGAGCTCTTGTTGGCCAGAGACGTATTTGTTCAGAGCAGTGTTGCCATTTTGGATGTTTTATATCCATTTATAGATGTTTTCTCTTGCATCTAGATGGTGTTTTTGACGTCTAGATTGTAGATGTATTTATAGATGTTTTTTATTTGGAGTTCGATATTAAATAGATTGTTTTTCTTTTAGTGTCAGTTTAATAATTACTGTGTAAAATATTAACTACATTTTTTGGGGGTCTGGCACGTACATTGTTTTAACTGTGATAACTTAAACTTTGAACTCTCACTGGGGTCAACGCTCTACAATCTGGCCGCCCCGGTACTGATTAAAAGCGCAGGTAAATCATACTTTGTTTCAACCACATCCTCACTGAGTTGTGAATTATAGCTATGATGCTGAGTTTGTGTTTCTTTTTTATTTGATTTTTTTTAAATTTTATAATTGCTCACCTTCATGTGTGTCTTTCACTTAAAAAAAAAAAACTAAACTTTCACCGTGCCAAAAGTAAAGCAGCATGAGCACAAATTTCGGAAAGAGTGGCTGCATGATGACAAAATTAAAGACTTAGTGATGGCTGTTCCTCGGTATACGGTCTGAAGTTCCAACTTCATCATCTAAGCTAAGTTTATCCTGTGGATCTTCTTCTTCGATCCTCTGTCAGAAAACTTATATCAGGAGGCCGTTAGCCTTTATGAAAGCGATACGATACAGCTTTTCTTTATTGTCGTTGGAACAGGCCAGATTGCGTCTCTGTTGTCAGCATACAGTCGACAGTGTTGGAGCACATGCTCGGCATTTTCAGGTGTCACTCTGCAGAGACACATCTCCGTGTTTCCTACACCAACAAATTTGAACATGAAGTTGGGGACATAATTCCATAGGGTGAGTCATATCAATACCTATGTAATTTGTGACCCTTTCCATTTGGATGTTTTTTCTAGATTTTTTCAGTACAAATCTAAATATATTTAGATATTTTTAAAACCCCTTTCTATATGTTTTCTGTCAAAGAAAAGTGGCAACACCGGTCCAGGGTCAGGGACACTTGATTGGACGACTGATGCTGCAATCTCGCAGATACTTCTCCACAAATTTAGAATATTTCTTTAGTAAAAATATTGTTAGAAAGGTTCCACAAGCACAAGCTGCCTGTAACATACCACTTTCGTCGACACAGCTACACTACTGACCGACGCATGTAATTACAGTTGGTGAGACTGATTCCCAAAACAACTGGCCGGACTTGGGAGTGGCGCAGTGAGAGCTCCGGCATCGTTTATTTACAGGAATTAGGTACTTTCTGGAGTGAAGACTTTCTCCATTATTTTACTGTTACGCAACCAGAATAGTTGGATAGTTTTTTGACAGATGTAATCAGCATAGTTGGATAGTTTTTTGACAGAGGTAATCAGCATAGTTGCATAGTTTTTGACAGATGTAATCAGCATAGTTTGAGTTTGATAGTTTTTTGACAGATGTAATCAGCATAGTTGGATAGTTTTTTGACAGATGTAATCAGCATAGTTGGAAAGTTTTTGACAGATGCAATCAGCATAGTTGGATAGTTTTTGACAGATGTAATCAGCATAGTTGGATAGTTTTTGACAGATGTAATCAGCATAGTTGGATAATTTTTTTGACAGATGTAATCAGCATAGTTGCTTAGTTTTTGACAGATGGTATCAGCATCAAGGTCTGTGGCTTTGGCATTGCAAACGTATTTTTTATACCGGGGTGCTGGGTTCAATCCCAGCTGTGGACTGTTTATGTTACGCTGGTTTCGACAGTGGTACTGAGTGAGAGCTGATCGTTGAGTTAGCAGTGGCAACTAATAAAAAAAATAGAAATAAAGGTCCTTTTTCCACGACTTTAGGCATATAGGGCTAGACCTTTATGTTTATAAACTAATCAGCACAGGATAGGTGATGTGTTCAGCATCACACCGCCCACCTTTAATTCCCGGGACTGCACCTGGTACCAACTCAAGGCTGGGAATCAAGGTCATTTTTGTAAAAAGTCAGGCTCCGCCAGGGAGCATCTAGCTGCTACGCCACGGCGACTCCCAGCAGTGGCAGCTACTGAATGTAAAATTTACCTTGAAAAACCACAGCAGCCAGAAAACACATTTGGGTTGTGCAACATCATGTAAAGCAGCGGTTCTCAGCCTGCTAGTCACCATATTTTTTTTGGGCACAGAGGTCACCTAAGACCTTTGGAAAACACATATTCATTGAAGTATGAAGGAAAATAATTGTTTAAGGGTCACCACAACATTGTGGAATTGTATTAAAGGGTCTCGGCATTAGGACAGTTGAGGTTAGGGTAACCCTAACCCTAACTGCAGTAAAGGATGTGCAACTAACTTGAGATCTGCAAAGTTGGATAGCTTTTGTCAGATGTCATCAGCATAGTTAGCTTTTGTCAGATGACATCAGCATAGTTGGATAGCTTTTGTCAGATATCATCAGCATAGTTGGATAGCTTTTGTCAGATTTCATCAGCATAGTTGGATAGCTTTTGTCAGATGTCATCAGCATAGTTAGCTTTTGTCAAATGTCATCAGCATAGTTGGATAGCTTTTGTCAGATGACATCAGCATAGTTGGATAGCTTTTGTCAGATATCATCAGCATAGTTGGATAGCTTTTGTCAGATTTCATCAGCATAGTTGGATAGCTTTTGTCAGATGTCTTCAGCGTAGTTGGATAGCTTTTGTCACATGTCATCAGCATAGTTTGATAGCTTTTGTCACATGTCATCAGCATAGTTGGATAGCTTTTGTCACATGTCATCAGTATAGTTGGATAGAACTGGGAAGATATTACCAGCATTGCTGGATAGAACCAGGATAGCCTGATAGAATGTACCAGTGTCCCAGCTGGGGAAAGAAGCTGGATAGAATGTGCCAGTGTCCAGCTGTGGAAAGAAGATGGATAGAATGTGCCAGTTGTCACAGACCTCTGATTGACCTTGATGGTCTGTGGCTTGTTCAGTGGGCCTCTGACAATCTAAACCTAGCATACACTGAACCTGGATGCACACAGAGCACACAAGAAAATCTTTAATGGAAAGTACAGATTATCAAAAGGACTGTTGACTTCCTGCTCTATGGCCACCTGTTACCTCAAAAACTGCTGAGCGAGCTTCACATTCACTACACTTGCTAGTGCGTTCTCTCAAGCAAATCCCGGGTTCACAAACCACACCTATGCCAGATTCACTTTTTTCCTAGTCACTGGACCTCACCAGGATGGCAGAGCTTCTGTTGAGTGCAGGGCCAGTGTGCCAAGGCTAGAAATCATCACACAAACCATTTCACTACCCGATTCTACTGATCAGAATATACCAACACTACTTACGTATTAAGAAACAACACAGCACACTGTTGCTGTTAAACGCTACACAACACAAAGAAGCTAGCCTACCATAAAATAACACTTAACACAGTCTGTGCGGTCACTAAAATATTATTCTAAACTTAACTTTCTACATCTATCCAACTACACATGTCCATCCTGTCTCAAGTCTCCAAGTCGAATGCTGGTGGCCTCCCACCTCGTGACTTTTGCAGGGTCATTTCGCTCAGGTTGGGTCATGCAGCAAACATGACCTGAAGCCGCCAGGAAGAGAGATCACTCTTTCAGCACTTAATTGCAGTCACTGCTGGGTCTTGCTGAGCGGTAGTTTTCCCTAAGCATCAACAGCACATACTTGGAAAGTCATGCCACAGTGCTGACCTCTGTCAACTCTCGGTTCGACCCCTGCACATGGTACTCTGTCTCTATGGTCTACACCGCCACATGACTGTACAAAACAGGGTTCTGACACCAGTGTCCCAGCTGGGGAAAGAAGCTGGATAGAATGTGCCAGTGTCCCAGCAGGAAAAAGAAGGTGGATAGAATGTGCCAGTGTCTCAGCCAGAAAAAAAAAGCTGGATATAATGTATTAGTGTCCCAGCTGCAAAAGGAAGCTGGATAGAATGTGCCAGTGTCCCTGCTGGGTAAGGAGGCTGGATAGAATCTGCCATTGTCCCTGCTGGGTAAGGAAGCTGGATAGAATGTGCCAGTGTCTCAGCTGGGGAAAGAAGCTGGATAGATGTGCCAGTGTCCCAGCTGGGAAAGGAAACTGGATAGAATGTGCCAGTGTCTCAGCTGGGGAAAGAAACTAGATAGATGTGCCAGTGTCTCAGCTGGGAAAAGAAGCTGGATAGAATGTGCCAGTGTCTCAGCTGGGGAAAGAAGCTGGATAGAATGTGCCAGTGTCTCAGCTGGGGAAAGAAGCTGTATAGAATGTGCCAGTGTCTCAGCTGGGGAAAGAAACTAGATAGACGTGCCAGTGTCTCAGCTGGGAAAAGAAGCTGGATAGAATGTGCCAGTGTCTCAGCTGGGTAAAGAAGCTGGATAGAATGTGCCAGTGTCCCTGCTAGGGAAAGAAGCTGGATAGATGCGCCAGTGTCCCAGCTGGGAAAAGAAGCTGGATAGAATGTGCCAGTGTCCCAGCTGGGAAAGAAGCTGGATAGAATGTGCCAGTGTCTCAGCTGAGTAAAGAATCTGGATAGAATGTGCCAGTGTCCCAGCTGGGAAAAGAAGCTGGATAGAATGTGCCAGTGTCCCAGCTGGGAAAGAAGCTGGATAGAATGTGCCAGTGTCTCAGCTTGGTAAAGAATCTGGATAGAATGTGCCAGTGTCCCAGCTGGGTAAAGAATCTGGATAGAATGTGCCAGTGTCCCAGCTGGGAAAAGAAGCTGGATAGAATGTGCCAGTGTCTCAGCTGGGTAAAGAATCTGGATAGAATGTGCCAGTGTCCCAGCAGGAAAAAGAAGGTGGATAGAATGTGCCAGTGTCTCAGCCAGAAAAAAAAGCTGGATATAATGTATTAGTGTCCCAGCTGCAAAAGGAAGCTGGATAGAATGTGCCAGTGTCCCTGCTGGGTAAGGAGGCTGGATAGAATCTGCCATTGTCCCTGCTGGGTAAGGAAGCTGGATAGAATGTGCCAGTGTCTCAGCTGGGGAAAGAAGCTGGATAGATGTGCCAGTGTCCCAGCTGGGAAAGGAAGCTGGATAGAATGTGCCAGTGTCTCAGCTGGGGAAAGAAACTAGATAGATGTGCCAGTGTCTCAGCTGGGAAAAGAAGCTGGATAGAATGTGCCAGTGTCTCAGCTGGGGAAAGAAGCTGGATAGAATGTGCCAGTGTCTCAGCTGGGTAAAGAAGCTGGATAGAATGTGCCAGTGTCCCTGCTAGGGAAAGAAGCTGGATAGATGCGCCAGTGTCCCAGCTGGGAAAAGAAGCTGGATAGAATGTGCCAGTGTCCCAGCTGGGAAAGAAGCTGGATAGAATGTGCCAGTGTCTCAGCTGGGTAAAGAATCTGGATAGAATGTGCCAGTGTCCCAGCTGGGAAAAGAAGCTGGATAGAATGTGCCAGTGTCCCAGCTGGGAAAGAAGCTGGATAGAATGTGCCAGTGTCTCAGCTTGGTAAAGAATCTGGATAGAATGTGCCAGTGTCCCAGCTGGGTAAAGAATCTGGATAGAATGTGCCAGTGTCCCAGCTGGGAAAAGAAGCTGGATAGAATGTGCCAGTGTCTCAGCTGGGTAAAGAATCTGGATAGAATGTGCCAGTGTCCCAGCTGGGTAAAGAATCTGGATAGAATGTGCCAGTGTCCCAGCTGGGTAAAGAATCTGGATAGAATGTGCCAGTGTCCCAGCTGGGTAAAGAATCTGGATAGAATGTGCCAGTGTCCCAGCTGGGTAAAGAATCTGGATAGAATGTGCCAGTGTCCCAGCTGGGTAAAGAATCTGGATAGAATGTGCCAGTGTCCCAGCTGGGAAAGAAGCTGGATAGATGCGCCAGTGTCCCAGCTCGGTAAGAAGCTGGATAGAATGTGCCAGTGTCTCAGCTGGGTAAAGAATCTGGATAGAATGTGCCAGTGTCCCAGCTGGGAAAAGAAGCTGGATAGAATGTGCCAGTGTCCCAGCTGGGTAAAGAATCTGGATAGAATGTGCCAGTGTCCCAGCTGGGTAAAGAATCTGGATAGAATGTGCCAGTGTCCCAGCTGGGAAAGAAGCTGGATAGAATGTGCCAGTGTCCCAGCTGGGAAAAGAAGCTGGATAGAATGTGCCAGTGTCCCAGCTGGGAAAAGAAGCTGGATAGAATGTGCCAGTGTCCCAGCTGGGAAAGAAGCTGGATAGAATGTGGCCAGTGTCTCAGCTGGGTAAAGAATCTGGATAGAATGTGCCAGTGTCCCAGCTGGGTAAAGAATCTGGATAGAATGTGCCAGTGTCCCAGCTGGGTAAAGAAGCTGGATAGAATGTGCCAGTGTCCCAGCTGGGAAAAGATGCATACACACTTTTTATTTTACCCCTAGCAATGTTTAAAATAAATGAATGAATCAGTTACCAGAATGAGTCTTCAGGTTCTTTTTGTTTCATTAACATGTGTAATGCATTACTTTCTTCTGGAGGGCGGTTGTTTGAAAACAGCTATTGGCTGAATTATCTTATGCAATTTTCTATATACAGTGCCAGCACTTGGCAGAAAACTCTCTTTACAGTACGTGGGCTAGACAGAGTACTAACTTTACACTACTTTTACCAGAGAACTATCATTACAGTACTTGCACTAGACAGAGTACTAACTTGACACTGCTTTCACCAGACAGAGAACTGTCTTTACAGTACTTGCACTAGACAGAGTACTAACTTGACACTGCTTTCACCAGACAGAGAACTGTCTTTACAGTACTTGCACTAGACAGAGTACTAACTTGACACTGCATTCACCAGATACAGAACTGTCTTTACAGTACTTGCACTAGACAGAGTACTAACTTGACACTGCTTTCACCAGATACAGAACTGTCTTTACAGTACTTGCACTAGACAGAGTACTAACTTGACACTGCTTTCACTAGACAGAGAACTGTTTTTACAGTAATTGCACTAGTAAAAGTAAAAAGTAAAGATCCCTTTCATGCCTTTAGGCGTATCGGGCATATGGGAAGAGCGCCCATATTTTTACAGACCATCAGCACTCGGTGGGTAATGTGGACAGCATTACGCCGGCTGTCTTTACTTTCCCAGGACAGCCCATCCTGGTACCCATTTGAGGCTGGGTCGACCTGCGACGTCCCATACCACGATAAAAATCCACGCAGCCCGCATTGGGTTTCGATCGTGGTACGTTGGATTACGAGTCGGACTCGCAACGCCTTAGCCACGGACGCCGCCTAGACAGAGTACTAACTTGACACTGCTTTCACCAGATACAGAACTGTCTTTACAGTACTTGCACTAGGCAGAGTACTAACTTGACACTGCATTCACCAGATACAGAACTGTCTTTACAGTACTTGCACTAGACAGAGTACTAACTTGACACTGCTTTCACTAGACAGAGAACTGTTTTTACAGTACTTGCACTAGACAGAGTACTGACTTGACACTGCTTTCACCAGATACAGAACTGTCTTTTCAGGTCCGGCCTTAGACAGGACATTGTTTTTACAGTATTTGCACTAGACAGAAAAAGGTGGAACATATATTTATTATTGCTATTTTCAGATTGTGTCTGAGGTTTTGAAATATTTCCTGTCAACGACAGTACAAGTGTCACATTGGATCAGGGACAGTACACCTGTCACTTTGGACTCCCAACATTGCCTACATTTGGAATGGGTCGTTTCTTAATTTATTTCTCCTACTTTGGCACACGATACAGGTGAGGTGTTACTAGTTGTCTTTTTCTCACCCTGTCTAAAGTATAGCAGGTTTGTGTGTAACTCATACACCATCAGCATGCAATGTGATATGTCCATATGTATGACTCATGCACCCTCTGGGAGCTGCTCTAACACAGTGGGCCTTGTGGTTTATCAATGTATGTAACTCATACACCATCTCGGAGCTGCTATAATACAGCTTGCTGTGTGACTCATACACCATCTTGGAGCTGTTATAATACAGCTTGCTGTGTGGACTCATACACCATTTATGAGCTTCTATAAAACAGCTTGATGTGTGACTCATACACCATTTATGAGCTTCTATAATACAACTTGCTGTGTGACTCATACACCATTTATGAGCTTCTATAATACAACTTGCTGTGTGGACTCATACACCATCTGCTGTTATAACACAGCTTGCTGTTTGTCTTGTACACCATCTGGGAGCTGCTATAATACAGCTTGCTATGCGGAGCTGCTCTAACACAGTGGGCCTTGTGGTTTATCAATGTATGTAACTCATACACCATCTGGGAGCTGCTATAATACAGCTTGCTGTGTGACTCATACACCATCTGAGAGCTGTAATAATACAGCTTGCTGTGTGTCTCATTCACCATCTGGGAGCTTTTATAATACAGCTTGCTGTGTGATCATATACCATCTGGGAGCTTTTATGATACAGCTTGTTCTCTCACTCAGAACCATACATACTTTTCCAGATGCAATCTTTTTCATATCCTTTTTAGACCACATTTGAACCTTGATATGAGATATGAACCATGAATATGAACTATGAATTTGGAAAAACGAGTGGTGTGTGCAATGCTTTTACTTGTGTGTGTATATCTGTTTTAGTATTTGTATAATCAAACAGTATCGAACATTAGTTTATATACTTGCAGGGGGCTTTACAGATAAGCAGCTCATATTATTGTATATATATATATATATATATATATATATATAAAAATCAGTGTTTGTTTGTTTGTCACCTATAGACTCTTAAACTAAACTGATTTAGCGGAAATTTTCAGGATATGTTTGTTTTGATACTGGGATGCTACCTGTCATGGTTTGAAATAGGTGGCTACATTTGTTAGAAACATTTTTGAAACTTAACATTTTCATTTTAGTGATGTTTAATTAAAGCCACGTTCGTAAATGCACATGCGCAGTAGTCGGGACGTACAACTTTCAACATCTGACCGCGAGATGCGTACAGTAAGCCAGACTCTCTATATCTACGCAGGCAATGATTGCGACATTAACAATATTAGACATATGCGATTTCATTTTTCTTTCTTTTCAAGAAACCTTCAATGAGTTAGAGAGTAGTCCATGGATTAAGGGGGGGGGGAGGCATCGAAGACTATCTCTATGTCTGCGCAGACAATGATTGTGACATTAACCATGTTAGACACTTGCAATTTCTATTGTTGTGCCGTTTTATTAATACTCAAAGTTATTTCTGGGATATCTGTCTATGAGAAAACAATTGCCTGCGGTTTTGAGTTGTCTTAGAATTCGGACACAGCGGTAGGGACACACATCTCAAAAAGTTTTTTTTCTCTTTTCGTTGCATTCATGGAGGAGCGGTTGGTTGGCCAGATGGTTAGAGCTCTGGGCTATCGTGCGGGAGACCATGGTTCGAATCCACAGTAGTGCATTTGATTTTTTGTTTGATTTTTTACCTGTGCGCAAAATAAAATCCTCACCTGCACAGTCGTGGCAACAGCATTAGCCATGCGGCGATAAATACTAAAAAAAAAAAAAAAAAAAGTGCAGGTATGTTGGTAAACTAGTTGATAATTAAATTTGACTATTTCGCATACTACGATTTCATTTCAAAGTTTCCAATTGCATGGTTATGCTGAATTTTCATACATTATATTTATTTTCATTTTGATTTAATTATTTGGTCTGACATTGCATTGGGATTAAGCTGTGTTGTTTACCATAGCGTTCATTTTGTAATTATAAGTAAAAAGTAAAGAACCCTTTTTACGCCTTCAGGCGCATCAAGAATATAGGAAGAGCAACCATATTTTTACAGCCCAATCGGCACTAGCTGGGTAATGTGGTGAGCATTACGCCGGCCGTCTTTACTTTCCCAGAACATACATCCTGGTACCCATTTCAGGCTGGGTCAACCTACGACATCCCATACCATGATAAAAATCCATGCAGCCAGCAGCGGGATTCGATCGCGTTACGTTGGAATTACGAGTCGGACGCGCAACGCCTAAGCCATCGACGCTGCGTCATTTCGTAATTATGGTGTATATTATCTGTTTTCTTTGCTTTTTATTTGTTTTTTTTTTTAACGACTTCGATAAGGGAAAAAGTAGTCAGAGTATTGGGGGTAAAAAAAAGGATGGGGGGGGGGGGGGGGGGGTTCAAACTGTTAAATGAGAGATCTTTAGGTCACAGAAACTGCCTTGCCCCCTCATAGTAGCAGCAGCAGTAGTAGTTGTGGTTGGCTTGTTACACCGTGGGTCTGTCATGCTGGAGACCCGGGTTTACCCGCTGGTAAGGGGATCCAAATCCTCTGGCTCACAGATGCTAGTGGACACACTATAGCAGCCATGTTAGCCCAGAAAGATGCAGATATTCTTCTCCCGATCCTATAATGGTCACAGAAACTAACATCCACACAACATAAATACAGCACATTTGAAAAAGAAGCCCTATCACTAGTCCTGAGTTTAAAGAAATTCCAGAAATATTGATTAGGAAAAGAATTTACAGTTTTAACAGACAGTTAGGGACTCACAAAGTTAATGACCATGGAATCAAAAAATAACTCCAGAGTTTATAGATAGGCATTATTAATAGCACAATTTAAATTTAGAATACAGCATATCAGGGGGATACAAAATCATCTGCCAGAGATCATGTCAGGATTGTAAAATGAAGTTGTTTTTAGAAAAAGCAAAAATCATAAGATTGAATACATGTTGGTGAAAATGCTGGTCGACACATAATGATATATGTATGTATATATTGTTTTTGTAAATGCAAATGAAGATTTTGTAAAATGTAAATGTAATGACAGACAGGACAAAGACATAAGTGACGTACAATACAATGAAACAAAATGCTTAATAATTGAACATACAAATTTATTTGATACAAAAGTCAAAATGACATATATGTATTTAAGATATATACATTGCAACATTTTGAGATGATGAAATGATTTAATATTTAATTAGTACATGCAATGATTTTATTCAATATTGTAAGTATATATAGATAATGTAATTGATGTTAAATAAACATACCATAAGATACTTTCGAATATTTTGGGAACTTAAAGGGAGATAATCATTTGTAATGTAATATTGACTAAGGGAAATCACAATAAGCAAAGATAATTTAGTTCATAGCACCTATAAGGGGAAACATGAATATCCAATGGAAACGAACATCAGTGAGTGTTCTGTGAATGCAGTAGCAAGGGTGGATCTTTACGGGTTTTTACATTGTTATTCCATAGCCGTTATGGATTTCAACACTTGAAAGAGTAGTGCCTGTTGTGATTTTCTGTCGTTTGACAGACTGTGGGATGAAGTGGGGAATGCATATAGCCTTTATGGTCTTCCACAATTGAAAGAATATTGCCTGGAGTGTCGATTCCATTACGCTACATGGTACTCACTGGACACGACAACTGACAAAGTTTTAAAGGAAGAACATGAGTAACCCAAAGGATTCGGACAATTTTTACCACTGAGACCAGTGAAAATACCCAAGCATTACATAAAATGAACTCTAACCCATTAACTGTAATAAGAAAAAAAAAGTAAAATTTTTTTAATACTCGAGGGGGAGATTGTAATGTGGGATATTTTCACTTTGATTGAGAAGGTTGGAAGGAATGCCCCAGGGTCACCATAAAACCGAGAGAAGCCAGATGCTCGGATAAAAATGAGGTTCTCGGGGGGAGGGGGGGAGGGGGGGGGGGAAACGACCACGTGCTACCACAGAACGACCACGGGTCGCCACGTGGAACCCATGGAGAACGACCACATGTCACCACGTGAAACCAACACTGATTATAAGGTCAGACCACGTTCTGATCAGACAGTATGTGTTGGACCTTTGGAACGAGAGGGCATGTGTGTGATCTAGTGTGAATGAGAATGTGAAACTGATTGCTTCAAGATGACGACTAGACTACAACATTCATCAAAGTGAAGTCCACTCAAATTCAGTTGCCGAAAACCACGAATGCAGTGACCAGAGTCATCCATGCAGAGATGTTGAAGTGAAGACGGAGAACTCCAGAGTTTGAATGCATCAGGATTCAATGTATTGGTGTCTGAACGATGTGTTGCTCGAATGTTGAGTAGGACACGGACTGTACATATTGTATAAGTGCTTAAATGTTAATAAACAGTTATGTATCATGGAAATGGTGTCTACTCATAACATCTGTGTCATCGTAGAGTGTCAGTCATATCATCAATTAGACTACACCCCCTAGACAACAGCCAAGGACCGAGCAGACAATTATTGCAGACCCCCTGACTACTCTGATGGTAAAACATATAGTAGTGACATTAGTTTAGTTATTGTGGTGGTGGTGGTGGTGGTAGTAGTAGTAGTAGTACTGGTATTTGAAGGATGGTGTTGTAAATATTACACTGGCCACATTTACTTCTCCTTACAATTGCTGCTCCCCATTTTCGTCGGATGGACAGGGATGTCAAGATCAGTTTAAAAAAAATTTCGTCAGGTGATGATTTTCAAATCCTTCGGAGAGAGAGAGAGAGCAGTAAACGGTGGAGGAGGGAGGGGAGAGGGTGATGACAGAAACTGTTAACTTAGAGAGCTTAATACATGATTTTAAAGTTTTCATTTCTTAATTTATTTTATTTTACTAAAGCTACCTCAGCTATTATAAATTTTTATTTTGTTAAAAATCTTTTGTTTTGTGTGTGTGTGTTGTTGAAATTTGCAAGTACAGTAGTAAGCTTTACTTCCATCTCTTTAAAAAGTACTAACAGTTTTAGCATGTGATAACCAAATAACCATTTTTAAAAGTCCTAATAATATTTATGTGTCATTATAGTGGTCATTTAAATTGTATGTTGTGTGTTCTAGAATCGGGAAACCAGACTATCTCTATATCTGCGCAGGCAATGATTGCGAAATTAACCATATTAGACACATAAGATTTCTATTTTCTTTCTTTTCAAAAAAACCTTCGAAGAGTTAGAGAGTAATCGGTGGATTTAAGGAAATGAGGGGGGGGGGGGTGGCGGCATTGAAGGCTATCTCTATGTCTGCGCAGAAAATGATTGCGACATTAACCATGTTAGACACTTGCAATTTCTATTCCCCCCCCCCTCCCCCATTTAGCCAAACTAAGCTACAGCAATGCCTGGCCGGGTACAGCTAGTTATGTGTATATTGCGTATTCTGTCCAACATACTATAAGGAAGAGATATGTAATGTATGCCAGAAATATAATAATATAGAGCACTATTGGCTGAAATGTGGGAAATATGAAAACCAAAAGAAACCATTAACTAACTACATGAATCTCTGTAAATTACCTATGTTGATAGCAAACTTGCTGCACATAAACAGCTCCAGAGAGCTGAGTGGCAAGGACAAGCAGTTTATTACTAGGACTAAAATCCATGTATACAAGGGTATAGAATGCCATGGTATCTTTGGAGTAGTTTCCCCTAAAGATAAAATGGGGTATAACAATGAGTGATTGCGCACCGAGGATACAATATATCCATCATGCTAATGACACAGTGCTATCAAGATTGTCAATTTATTCATTGTCAGTGTCACATTTTTTGTTTGTAGTACAATTTCTGTCATAATTTCTGTCATAATTTCTGTCATAATTTCTGTCATAATTTCTGTCATAATTTCTGTCATAGCCAAATCAAAGCAAAATGTGAAACTGTGCAAGTTGCCCCTCCTTAAGGCTCCATCTTCTTAGCACCGAAACTCCAAAAAGGCTCCTTCTCCAAAGAGTTAAAGCTTGCAAACTATGGTTTGAGAAATTCAAGAACAGAACTGGTATACATAGTGTTGTTAGACATGGAGAAGGTGCTAGTTGCTGACAAGTTTGTAAAATAATTTCAGAAAATTATGGAGTCAACATTTTACTGGCCAGAATAAGTTGTCGCCTGCGATGAAATTAGGTTTTTCTTGAAGAAAATGTTTAACAGAACAATTTTCAATCTGAGAATGAATTAATTGATTTCCCATAAGATGTAATGGTAAATTGGGTTTTGAGATTTGAACTTTTATGTCCATATATACTGTTGAATTAAGAATCAACATCATAGCACTCAGGACACCCCCATAAACGCTCCGTCTCCATCTTCAGCAGCAAACGAAGAGCTGCAGTTCTGGTGGCACCAGTAACTGTCTGATTGTGTATGTATCTCGCCCATCCTCTAAGTGTTGAGCATCTGCCAGATCTCCTGGTAACTCCTCACAGCGCCATTCTCCTCAGACCGTAATGAGCTGTCAGTGCCTCCACACTGTTCACTGGCTCCCAAAGGGCTCTTACAATAGCTAGCTTGTCATACATCAATTCATAACCAGGTGGTGCAGAACCAGCCAGTCTATCTGCCTGCTCATTTCCTAGCACACCAGCATAACCTGGAGTAAATATCCAAACGACGTTAACTACATGGGACCTCTGAAGTTATCGTATACGCTATAACCATGTCTATGTATCTATGTCTACTATATCCTATGCTATAGCCATGTCTATGTATCTATGTCTACTATATCCTATGCTATAACCATGTCTATGTATCTATGTCTACTATATCCTATGCTATAGCCATGTCTATGTATCTATGTCTACTATATCCTATGCTATAGCCATGTCTATGTATCTATGTCTACTATATCCTATGCTATAACCATGTCTATGTATCTATGTCTACTATATCCTATGCTATAACCATGTCTATGTATCTATGTCTACTATATCCTATGCTATAACCATGTCTATGTATCTATGTCTACTATATCCTATGCTATAACCATGTCTATTGTAGCCATATCTATTGTAACTGTGTCTACTTTGCTTGTGTCTGCTTTAGTTTGTTAGTCAACAGATTGTCATCATCACACATTAAACCATTCAATCCATAAGTGCTCAGATCCCCTCTTCAGTATCTCCCTCAACGTGTAGTGGCTTTTGAAACCAGTTCTGTGTTGGTTTACTATTCATCTTTGGGCCCCTGTGTAGCTCTTTTGCCTGGCTTCACCCCTTTTGGATATGTCCGTGTAGTCTCGTCAGTGTTGCAGATTCACAAGCTCTATCCATTGCTCGTCCGAATCCCATGTGAGCAATGCTTGCAAGTCTTTCAGCTTGTTCATTGCCATTTACATCAGAATGCCCAAGAACAAATATGAAACTGATTTTTGTCAGCACTGTAACCTTGTCTAGTGTATTCATGTCCACTATAACCATGTCTACTTTACCCATGGCTGCTGTAACCATGTCTACTATAACCATGTCTACTTAATCCATGTCTACTGTATTCATGTCTACTATAACCATGTCTACTTTACCCATGTCTACTGTATCCATGTCTACTATAACCATGTCTACTTTACCTATGTCTACTGTAACCATGTCTACTATAACCATGTCTACTATAACCATGTCTACTATAACCATGTCTACTATAACCATGTCTACTGTAACCATGTCTACTGTATCCATGTCTACTATAACCATGTCTACTATAACCATGTCTACTTAATCCATGTCTACTATAACCATGTCTACTATAACCATGTCTACTTTACCCATGTCTACTATATCCATGTCTACTATAACCATGTCTACTTTACCTATGTCTACTGTAACCATGTCTACTATAACCCTGTCTACTATAACCATGTCCACTATAACCATGTCTACTATAACCATGTCTACTGTAACCATGTCTAATGTATCCATGTCTACCATAACCATGTCTACTATAACCATGTATACTATATCCTGTCTACTGAATCCATATCAGCTATTTCTATGTTTCAGCGGTGTCCAGGAGCAAAGAGGGCTAGCTGTGAAAACTGTGGGTGGAGCGTTAATGGTGAGTATTGTAAATCAGACCTGTACACATTATAAATCTGACCTCTAGACATTATAAATCAGACCTATAAAAATTCTAATTACCAATAGATAAATGCAAATTAAAATTGTAGACATTGGAAACCAAGGATGTAGACATTGTAAATCTAGGCTGTAAGCATTTTAAATTAAACCTGAGGACATGATAAATCAGAGTTGTAGACACTGTATGAAATTTTTTTTCTCAGAGCTGTAGACATTGTAGATCAGAGCAGCTTACATTGTATGAAAACTGCAAATCAGAGCTGTAGACTTTGCATAAATTAGAGCTGTAGACATTGTGCATAAGCAGCCATTAGTCTCTAGCGGCCATTGAGCTGTGCCACTGGTCTTGAGAACATTGTCTGCTGTGATTATGAAGTTCTGTACGGGGACTATACCCACATCTAGTCTAAAACAAAGAAATGTGTCTGCCTGCCTGTCTGTCTGAATGTCTGTTTGTCTGTCACAAGAACTCCTCCACAATGGTGACTAGTTGTGATGTGAAGATTGCATATGTTATTCTGACTGCATTTTCTAGGTCAGACTCCCCCCACCCCCATTTTCTCCCTTAATCAACAAGGTTTCTACATACTGTTGCTAATTAACACTACAGTCACCAGAAGTTAACATTCACTAGAGTATTTATCTGAGCATATATATATATATATATATATATATATATATATATATATATATATATATATATATATATATATATATATATATATATATATATATATATATATATATATATATGTTTTTATATATATATATATATATAAAACGCCTTGAAGAATGAGTTTAAAGAGAACTATATGCCCGGCTCGCTAGCGTAGTTGGCTAAACCTAACATTGCGGAGGGCACAGCCTATGATCAGTGGGATGCTCAACAAACGGATGTGAGGTTAAGCACTCATGTGCAGGACCTGACAATTCCCTGGGAGAGCCCGTACTAGAGCGTCATGTGTTAGCTCTGCATTTATGGAGGCCTCCTAGGATGGTGGGGAAATCCCATGATCCGCCCCTGCTTTCCTTTGAGAGCTGACCTGTCTACATAAGGTTGCCCCAGCGAAGTCTCCAGGAGCAACACTTGTAGATAAGAGGACAAAGAGAACACCACACAGTAAGGCTATGCATTGTTCCACTAAACCATCTGGGAAGTTAACCCAGTCAACAAATGCTCAATGAAGTCGGATATGTCGCCTGAAATAAGCGAATATCGCAACTTTGCTGTAAACAGGCACAGTGCATTTACATCACTCAGAAAAATGCAAAGAAGAAGAAGAAGCTCTGGGTTTTGTTGCAGTATAGGAGTCAGCTTAGGACACAAGCTTCATAAACATAGATGTTGGTCGTATCCATCAGCTTTTTTGTTTGACCACACTTTTATTAGGAGTTTGGAAATCTTTGCAGAAACCATTTGTATTCATTTGTTTAGTTCTGCATCTTAGAAAAGATCACCTGTGATTCGACAGCCTTGGTACTCAGACTGTGTAAAACCAACAGCTTGTAGTCATAAACATTGATGCTTGGTGGCTGTACCAGGTTCATCCCCATCACTTGTGTTGTGTTGTGTTGTGTTGTGTTGTGTTGTGTTGAGACTGATGGTTAGTACAAATTCATTGCATGTATTTGCAAGGCAGTTCATGAGAATCTGCAGATAATTTTCTGTATGCGTAGATCATCCACACCTGGACCGTCTCTGAGGCATCCTGTCTGCATCTTAGTCCTTGCGCAAAGCCTGGACAGATCGAAAAGAATACCATCTGACCTTGTATGGAGATATATCCCTTCAGTAGCTGTCCCGAAAGCACTCTGAAGCAGTGCGCTACAAAAAGATGCTAAGTAATGTGGGAGGTAGAATGTAACTCTGCTTTACTTCTTCACAAATCTGGATGTATGACGATGGCAGATACTCGTTTATAATGGTTTCTGTCATGTTCTTGTTGAAGGATCTAATGAGACTCAGTTGTATAGTTTGGCATCCCTGTTTAACTAGAATTTTGAACATGCCATGTCTGCTAACATAATCAAAAACTTAGTGAGATCTATGGAAGCAATAAGCAGGTTAGGGTTAGGGACTTGTAGTGCCCACTTTAGGAAATGCTGCTGTAGATATTGTGAAACAGAATGGTAGATTTTGTAAAATAGAGCTGTAGACATTGTAATTCAGAATGGTAGATATTGTAAAACTGACTTGTAGACATCGTAAATCAGAATTGTAAATCTGATTTGTAGACATCGAAAATCAGAATGGTAAATATTGTAAAACTGACTTGTAGACATTGTAAATCTGAATGGTAGATATTGTAAAAACTGACTTGTAGACATTGTAAATCTGAGTTGAAGACACTGTAAAACTGACTTGTAGACATTGTAAATCATAACTGTAGACATTATAAATCAGGATTGTAGAAATTATAAATTAGAGCAGCAGAGATTGTAACTGATAACTGGATGATGTGATGTTTCAGACTGCACTAAAACACCTGCAGCCATCAAATGAAATCAAGCTGACACTGTCCAGTCGCACAGACAAAGGAGTCCATGCTTTAGCAAATGCTTGCCATGTTGATTTAGTCTATCCGTAAGTCTTGTTGACTTGGTACATCCATCAGTCATGTTGATCTGCTGTAACCACAGTCCTGTTGACTTGACCTAATCATAAGTCCTATTTACTTGATGCAGTCATAAGTCATGTTGATCTGTTGTATCCATAAGTCATGTTGACTTGACATATTTGTACTTGATGGTATAACCATAAGTCATGTTGACTTGACATATTTGTACTTGATGGTATAACCATAAGTCATGTTGACTTGACATATTTGTACTTGATGGTATAACCATAAGTCATGTTGACTTGACATATTTGTATTTGATGGTATAACCATAAGTCATGTTGACTTGACATATTTGTACTTGATGGTATAACCATAAGTCATGTTGACTTGATGTATTTATAAATCATGTTGGCGTGGAGTATTTGTAAGTCTTGATGATCTCACAAGTCTGTATAAGCCATGACACATTCATCCCCTCATCTACACACACAACATCCCTTCTACACACACAATCACCCATCTGCACACACATCCTCTCATCTACACATACATCCTCCCATTTACACACACAACCACCCAACTACACACACATCCTCTAATCTACACATTTGAATGTCCTCCCATTTACACACACAAACACCCAACTACACACAACCACCAACCTGCACACTAATCCACCCATCTACACACACACCCACCAATCTACACACACATCCACCCATTAACACACACCCACCCATCTACACACACATCCACCCATTAACACACATCCACCCATTAACACACATCCACCCATCTACACACACAAATCCTCTCATCTACACACTAATCCCCCAACTACATGCTCATCTTCTCATCTACACACTCATTTTCTCACCAAAACACTAATATTCTGATCTACACAGATATCCACTCATCTACACACACATCCACCCATCTACACATTTATCCTCTCATCTATGCACTCATCATCTCATTTACACACACATCCTCTCATCAGCCCACTTATTTTCTCATCTACACACTTATCCTCTCATCTAGGCACTTATCCTCTCATCTAGGCACTTATCTTTTCATCTACACACTCATCATTTCACCTTAACACACATCCTCTCATTTTTGCATCATTCATGATTACTCTAATGTGTGTTACCATCTGTCAGATTTGACGGCAAGGAGTATAATCCCTCAGTGATCACTAGCCTATTGAACTACTATCTTATGAACCAGCAGGAGGAGATCAGGTGAGTGGTCACATAAAACAAGAGATAGGTTGGTCACATAAAACAAGAGATAGGTTGGTCACATAAAACAAGAGATAGGTTGGTCACATAAAACAAGAGATAGGTTGGTCACATAAAACAAGAGATCAAGTGAGTGGTCACATAAAACAAAAGATCAGGTGAGTGGTCACATAAAACAAGAGATAGGTTGGTCACATAAAACAAGAGATAGGTTGGTCACATAAAACAAAAGATCAGGTGAGTGGTCACATAAAACAAAAAATCAGGTAAGTGATGTTTGTTACCAGCAGTCATTAACCCACTTACTACCACTATCGCACGTTATTTGATCTACCAGCATATACGCCTGGCTACCACAATCTGTGGTGCAATGTGTCCACCTGTTTCACTGTAACTAAAGTTTATGTACATCTTTGGTCTCATTGTGTCTACATATTTCACTTTGACTGATAAAGTGTATGTACATCTCTGGTCTCATTGTGTCCACATGTTTCACTGTGACTAAAGTTTATGTACATCTCTGGTCTCATTGTGTCCACATGTTTCACTGTAACTAAAGTTTATGTACATCTCTGGTCTCATTGTGTCCACATGTTTCACTGTAACTAAAGTTTATGTACATCTCTGGTCTCACTGTGTCCAGATGTTTCACTGTAACTAAAGTTTATGCACATCTCTGGTCTCATTGTGTCCACATGTTTCACTGTGACTAAAGTGTATGTACATCTCTGGTCTCATTGTGTCCACATGTTTCACTGTAACTAAAGTGTATGTACATCTCTGGTCTCATTGTGTCCACATGTTTCACTGTAACTAAAGTGTATGTACATCTCTGGTCTCATTGTGTCCAAATGTTTCACTGTAACTAAAGTTTATGTACATCTCTGGTCTCATTATGTCCACATGTTTCACTGTAACTAAAATGTATGTACATCTCTGGTCTCATTGTATCCATATGTTTCACTGTAACTAAAGTGTATGTACATCTCTGGTCTCATTGTGTCCACATGTTTTACTGTAACTAATGTGTATGTACATCTCTGGTCTCCTTGTGTCCACATGTTTCACTGTGACTGATAAAGTGTATGTACATCTCTGGTCTCATTATGTCCACATGTTTCACTGTAACTAAAGTTTATGCACATCTCTGGTCTCATTGTGTCCACATGTTTCACTGTGACTGATAAAATGTATGTACATCTCTGGTCTCATTATGTCCACATGTTTCACTGTAACTAAAATTTATGTACATCTCTGGTCTCATTGTATCCATATGTTTCACTGTAACTAAAGTGTATGTACATCTCTGGTCTCATTGTGTCCATGTTTCACTGTAACTAAAGTGTATGTACATCTCTGGTCTCATTGTGTCCACATGTTTCACTGTGACTGATAAAGTGTATGTACATCTCTGGTCTCATTATGTCCACATGTTTCACTGTAATTAAATTTGTGTTATTCTCTAATGTCTTTGTCTTCTGTTTCCACACACAGTTTCTTTATTTTAATGATCTTCATCATCATTAGGTGCCTATTCTGAACCATACATCAGCGATCATGATCCTCTACCCTAGCGGTTCTCAACCTTGTGGTTGAATGACCTTTAACAGGGGTCGCCTAAGACCTTCGGAAAACACATATTAACTGAAGTTATGCAGTAGCAACGAAAATAATTGTGTGGTTGCGAGTCACCACAACATGAGGAACTTTATGAAAGGATCACAAGCACTAGGAAGTTTGAGAGCCACTGTTCTAGCCCTTTCTGTCAGCTGATCTGTGGATATAGTTACTGTTGCTTATTGTAATATTTGTTCTGCTTATGTGTAAACTCCCAACATACACCTGTGTAAACTCACTACATACACCCTTGTAAACTCTCAACAGACACCCTTGTAAACTCTCAACAGACACCTTTGTAAACTCCTTACATACACCCTTGTAAACTCTCAACAGACACCTGTGTAAACTCTCAACATACACCTATGTAAACTCCCCACATACACACTTGTAAACTCTCAACAGACACCCGCTTAAACTCCCCACTTATAACCATGAAGACACCCCACATACACCCTTGTAAACTCCCCACATATACCTCTGTAGACACCCCACATACACCCTTGTAAACATCCCACATATACTCTTGTAAACTTCCCACATATACCTTTGTAAACATCCCACATATACCTTTGTAAACATCCCACATATACCCTTATACACTCTCCACATATAACCTTGTCAACTCTCCACAAATACCCTTGTCAACTCTCCAGATATAACTCTGTAGACACCCCACAAATACCCTTGTAAACTCTCCACATATACCCCTGTAGACACCCCACAAACACCCTTGAAAACTCTCTACATATACCCTTGTAAACTTCCCACAGATACCCTTGTAAACTTCCCACAGACACCCCTGTAAACTTCCCACATATACCCTTGTAAACTCTCTACAACACACACCCTTGTAAACTCCCCACAGACACCCTTGTAAACTTCCCTTATACACCCTCATGAACTCTCCACATATACCCTTTTAAACTCTTCACATACACCCTTTTAAACTCTTCACATACACCTTTGTAAACTCTCCATAAACACCCTTGTAAACTCACAAAAACCCTTATAAACTCACATTCAACCTTGTTTATCCCCCCCCCCCTCCCACATACACTTGTAAACTCTCAACAGACACCCCTGTAAACTCCCCACATACACCCTTGAAAACTCTGTAAACTCTCCACTTACATCCTTGTAAACTCTCCACTTACATCCTTGTAAACTCTCCACTTACACCCTTGTAAACTCCCCACATAACGCTGTTTCTTCCTCTGTCTGTCTGGCCATTTACTTTCCTTTATACCATAGCCATCACTTTGGTAAATAAACCACATCAGTGTTTGTTTTCTTGTATCATAGTTGTGATCAGTGTTTGTTTTCTTGTATCGTAGTTGTGATCAGTGTTTGTTTTCTTGTATCATAGTTGTGATCAGTGTTTGTTTTCTTGTATCATAGTTGTGATCAGTGTTTGTTTTCTTATATCATAGTTGTGATCAGTGTTTGTTTTCTTGTATCATAGTTGTGATCAGTGTTTGTTTTCTTGTATCATAGTTGTGATCAGTGTTTGTTTTCTTATATCATAGTTGTGATCAGTGTTTGTTTTCTTGTATCATAGTTGTGATCAGTGTTTGTTTTCTTATATCATAGTTGTGATCAGTGTTTGTTTTCTTATATCATAGTTGTGATCAGTGTTTGTTTTCTTGTATCATAGTTGTGATCAGTGTTTGTTTTCTTGTATCATAGTTGTGATCAGTGTTTGTTTTCTTGTATCATAGTTGTGATCAGTGTGATATCAATCCGACCAGCAGCTGTTCCTGTCAATGTTTATATTTTCTGTCCAAGAGATTCACAACAGGCAAATTTCTCATTTATGGCAGAATTTTACAAACAAAACAAGTACCAGAAACCTTCAACTGCAGACACAGTGCCACTGGCAGGAAGTATGTCTACAGGCTGGGCCATATTCTGGGTTCAGGGTTCAAGTCTGCTTTAGGGAGTCAAACTGATGGCAGGTTAGTTCTAGTTGTTGCTGATAGTGAATTAGTTCACTGCTAGTTGTAATTAATAGTGGATTAGTTCACTGCTAATTGTAACTAGCAGGGGATTAGTCACTCCTAGTTGTAACTAGTAGTGAATTAGTTCACTGCTGGTTGTAACTAATAGTGGATTAGTTTACTCCTAGTTGTAACTGAAAGTGAATTAGTTCACTCCCAATTAGAACTGATAGGGGATTAGTTCACTCCTGGTTGTAAATAATAGGTTGGTTCTAGTTGTAACTGATAATAGATTAGTTCTAGTTGTAACTGATAGTGGATTAGTTTACTCCTAGTAAGTTGTAAATGAAAGTAGGTTAGTTCTAGTTGTAACTGATAATGGATTAGTTCAAGTTGTAACTGATAGTAGATTAGTTCACTGCTAGTATTACTGATAATGGATTAGTCCTAGCTGTAACTGATTTGAGGTTAGTTCTAGTTGTAACTAAGAGTGGATTAGTTTGCTCCTTGATGCAACTGATAACAGGTTAGTTCTGTTTGTAGCTGATAGTGGATTAGTTCACTCCTAGTTGTAACTGATAGCAGGTTAGTTCTTGTTGTAAGTGAGAGTGGATTATTTCTTTCCTAGGTGCAACTGATAACAGCTTTGTTCTAGTTGTAACTGATAATAGATTAGTTCACTCCTAGGTGTAATTGATAACATGTTTGTTTTAGTTGTAACTGATAGTGGATTAGTTTATTCCTAGTTGTAACTGATAGTGGATTAGTTTATTCCTAGTTGTAACTGATAGTGGGTTAGTTTATTACTAGTTGTAACTGATAGTGTATTAGTTTGCTTCTTGGTGTAACTGATAACAGGTTAGTTTTAGTTGTTACTGATAGTGGATTAGTTTTTCTTAGTTGTAACTGTTAGTGGGTTAGTTTATTCCTAGTTGTAACTGATAGTGGATTAGTTCACTTCCTAGTTGTAACTGATAGGGGATTATTTAGGCTCAGTTCCTATAGACTCATTTACGACTTGACTTCACCAGAAAGAGTCGCCAGCCTTTAAAAGCAAACAATACAATGTTATATATGTAGAAGACACATTTGCAGGTTTCATTTACCCCATTTATCTATCTCTTTCTTGGTCTTCTCCTTGCCTTCCTCCCAGATCTTTTGTTGTAAAAATTCTTATATGCAGTTTGGCCTAGCTACATTCTTACTGAATGGCTGAACCATTTAATTTTTTTTGGGTCCTTTGATATAACTGAGACATGTCTTATTCAATTTTTTAATGCTGGTATTTATAACCCTGTCTCCTGTTTTGTTAGCGACTTTACAGAGAGTATATATATATATATATATATATATATATATATATATATATATATATATATATATATATATATATATATATATATATATATATATATATATATATATATATATATGAGGTTTTGCATGCACTGTAAATAGAATATAATTGATGTATCATTCATTAGATCATGTAGCTTTTGAGTGTGTAACTTTTGAATATGTAACTTTTAAATTAGATCATGAAAGCTTTAATGTTAGTTGATAATTCTTATGATTATTGTACAGGCAACACTTTCTTTAGTTTTAGTTGAAATATCCTGTGATCTTCTTTGAGCTAGTAGAATCTAGCTGAATATTTCATATGGTCTTCCACAACCATCATTAGGCTGTTCTTTTTTCTTGCAGTGAGGCATTGTTGGAGGAGTTGCAGAACTTTACTCATAGCAAATTCCCAAAGAGAAAACGTCCTTTGGGAGAGGCACTGGATGCTTTCAATGCTAGCAAGGCTGTCATCTACAGGTAGGGAGAGAGTGTGGGCATGTACAGCTATGTATTCATTTGCTTATTGATGACAGGTAATTGTAGTATGCTTAACTCACTTTGCTGTTCATTTGTAAAAGAGGTCAGAGGTGTGATTGCCTACCCCAGTTATAAAGGCACTAGATGATGATGGCAGAGATGTGCAAAAAGTCAATGCTACTTGACGTGTAAGACAATGCTTTCTTAAAATTAACGGGTGACAGCGGTCTCCACGGGTATCCTGAGAAATAAATGTGACCTGGGCAGCTGAAGGTGAACCCGTGTTTGTCCCTGTCAGTGCATTTAAGTCAGCTTGAGTGTGCTGAGGTGTTTGAGGATGTTTTATTTCAGTCTGGTGTGTTTTAACAAGCTGTTTTATTCTGTTGGAGCTCCTGTGAATTGTCTAATAGGTTTTGTGGATCGTGAGATAAACTTATGAATTCTGTCTGGTAAATTTCTAGAATGGATGGTTGTGCGACCGATGTGTTTGTGGGGTCTGCAGTGTTGCGGCTATGGGAGATGTAGTAAACAGGGTTATCTGTAAGGGCACAGAAGATGATCGGAATGTGATCAGGAGGGAGGGGGGGGGGGGGGGAGTATCACAGGCTGATTGCCAAGGTGGTAGTCAGCAATGCTTCAGTTAATGATGAAGTAGCAGACTGCGCTCTGGATTTCTTTTTGGCTTTATTTTCACCTTATGATGCATCTACTTTAAAACCCTAGGATTTATGGGTTCCTTGGAGGGACAGCAGTCAGGGGGTGCTCACTGTGCATCACATAGGTATATCTGCGCGGTCGGATGAGTTGGCTGTAGCAGACACCTGGGACATAGTTCGCTAGGGTGTTTTGTCCCTGTCTGGAGTGACTGCTCATGTGAATATTTGAAAATGCAATAGAAGACTTGACAGTGTTTCATCGATCAGCACTCACCTTCTTCGTTTGTGTTTTGTCCATAATAAAGAAACTGATGCACTATTACAGAGACAACGTTTAGTGTATTAGGAGATGACCTTGTGATTCTTGTGTTTGTATTATGTTGTTTATTCGAGAACTTTTGTATGTATGGGCGAAGCATAAACAAATCCCCTAGATATTTGGCATATGTGTGATGCCTCAGAGAGATCGCGTATAACAGCAATGTGGACCACTCGGGCATATAATCCTTTTATCCTTGTTTGTGTTCCTTGGTGAGAGGCAGGTCTAGTACCTGTGTTCCCTGGTGAGAGGTGGGTCTAGTTGGTGTTCTCTGCTGACAGGTGAGTCTAGTTCCTGTGTTTCCTGGTGACAGGTGGGTCTAGTTTGTTCCCTCGTGACAGGTGTCTAATGTGTTCCCTGATGACAGGTGGATCTAGTTACTGTGTTCTCTGGTGACAGATGGGTCTAGTGTGTACACTGGTGACAGGCAGGTCAAGAGTGTTCCCTGGTGACAGGTAGGTCTAGTGCAATCCCTGGTGACAGGTGGGTCCAGTTCCCGGGTTCCTGGTGACAGGTGAGTCTGGTGTGTTCCCTGGTGATATGTGTCTGGTGTATTCCCTGGTGACAGGCGGGTCTAGTGTTTTCCTTGGTGACAGGTGGGTCTAGTGCATTCTCTGGTGACAGGTAGGGCCAGTTCCTGGGTTTCCTGGTGACAGGATGGTCTAGTGTGTTCCCTGGTGACAGGTGGGTCTAGTGTGTTCCCTGGTGACAGGTGGGTCTAGTATGTTCCCTGGTGACAGGTGTGTCCAGTTACTGGGTTCCCTGGTGACATGTTGTCTAGTGTGTTGTTCCCTGGTGACAGTTAGACATACTGTAATGTGGTCTCTCTAATTGCACTTGTGTCTGTGTCAGGACTGAGTTGGACATCAGGAAGCTGGTGGCAGCTGCAGAGATGCTCTCAGGAATCCACAACTACCTGTGTTTCACCTGTCACCGCAAGGAGGATGACGACAACTTGCCACATCCTGTGAAGATGTTGACCATCGGGGTCAAGCGGGGTCAGCCATTGGGGCATCGTTTTCAGAAGTATTCTTCATGTTTGGATAATAACATTGAGTTTTGGGACATCCATGTTCAGTCCAAGTCTTTTATGTACAAACAGGTGAGATTTATTGCTATACACCAGTCATTTATGTACAAACAGGTGAGATTTATTGCCATACACCAGTCATTTATGTACAAACAGGTGAGATTTATTGCCATACGCCAATCATTTATGTACAAACAGGTGAGATTTATTGCCATAGGCCAATCATTTATGTACAAACAGGTGAGATTTATTGCCATACGCCAATCATCTCTACTTATGATACCTGTAATGTCTGCCTGTGCTTATCTCTCTACTTATGATACCTGTAATGTCTGCCTGTGCTTATCTCTCTTCTTGTAGTACCTGTAATGTCTGCCTGTGCTTATCTCTCTTCTTGTAATACCTAAAATGTCTGTCTATGTTTATCTCTCTAGTTGTAGTACCTAAAATGTCTGTCTATGTTTCTCTCTCTACTTGTAATACCTAAAATGTCTGTCTATGTTTCTCTCTCTACTTGTAATACCTAAAATGTCTGTCTTTGTTTATCTCTCTACTTGTAATACCTAAAACGTCTGTCTATGTTTCTCTCTCTACTTGTAATACCTAAAATGTCTGTCTTTGTTTATCTCTTTACTTGTAATACCTAAAATGTCTGTCTTTGTTTATCTCTCTACTTGTAGTACCTAAAATATCTGTCTATGTTTATCTTTCTACTTCTTATACTACATTAAATGGCTGCCCATGGTTATCTCTACTTATGATACCTTAACTCTTTGAGTCCCAGGGAACGCATTATGTGCTAATTGGTTAAAACCCAGCGGCCCCATTGACAAGTGAGGGTTTTTAAGGTATCACTGACCAGTTATAAAACACGGACATCTTAATTTCAACTTCCTTCTGAGTTCTTTGTTGTTTGATATCAAGTGTGCTCATTTGAAACTGTTTTTTAAAAGCCTAAAATATAGTATATTTGCGAGGTTTACCGAGTTACTGTTTGTTTGAAAACAATATGGCCACGAGCAGTACTCTACATGCAAGCCTCAAATTTAAATAAAGCAGGTTTATTAGATTTATCCAAAGTTAGATAGATAATGTTACGCAGTAGATGTGTTTCAGATAATGTTGCACAGTAGACCTGTTTCAGATAATGTTGGGTAGAAGATTTTTTTCAGATAACAGTAGATTTGTATCAGATAACGTTGCGCAGTAGACTTGTATCAGATAACGTTGCGCAGTAGACTTGTATCAGATAACGTTGCGCAGTAGACTTGTATCAGATAGTATTGCGCAGTAGACTTGTATCAGATAACGTTGTGCAGTAGACTTGTATTAGATAACGTTGCGCAGTAGACTTGTATCAGATAGTATTGCGCAGTAGACTTGTATCAGATAACGTTGCACAGTAGACGTATCAGATGACGTTGTGCAGTAGATGTGTTTCAGATAAAACTGCACAGTAGACTTGTTTCAGATAACGTTGCACAGTAGACTTGTATCAGATAACGTTGCACAGTAGACTTGTTTCAGATAACGTTGCACAGTAGACTTGTATCAGATAATGTTGCGCAGTAGACTTGTATCAGATAACATTGCGCAGTAGACTTGTATCAGATAACGTTGCGCAGTAGACTTGTATCAGATAACGTTGCGCAGTAGACTTGTATCAGATAACGTTGCGCAGTAGACTTGTATCAGATAACATTGCGCAGTAGACTTGTATCAGATAACGTTGTGCAGTAGACTTGTATCAGATAACGTTGCGCAGTAGACTTGTATCAGATAACATTGCGCAGTAGACTTGTATCAGATAACGTTGTGCAGTAGACTTGTATCAGATAACATTGTGCAGTAGACTTGTATCAGATAACATTGCGCAGTAGACTTGTATCAGATAACATTGCGCAGTAGACTTGTGTCAGATAACGTTGTGCAGTAGACTTGTATCAGATAACATTGCGCAGTAGACTTGTGTCAGATAACGTTGCGCAGTAGACTTGTATCAGATAACGTTGCGCAGTAGACTTGTATCAGATAACGTTGTGCAGTAGACTTGTATCAGATAACATTGTGCAGTAGACTTGTATCAGATAATGTTGCGCAGTAGACTTGTATCAGATAACATTGTGCAGTAGACTTGTATCAGATAACATTGCGCAGTAGACTTGTATCAGATAACATTGTGCAGTAGACTTGTATCAGATAACATTGCGCAGTAGACTTGTGTCAGATAACGTTGTGCAGTAGACTTTTTTCAGTCATTTATAGAGTCAAACTTTGATGAGAGATAGGTCTAATATGTACCTCACGGCAAGGGTATAACGACAGCAAAGTCCACTGGCACAAATAAAATAAATATTAGTGAAAAGGCGATTTTCTTCAGTTTTAGTTAGTTCTAGAGCTATTTCCCTTATTATTTAGGAACATAGCCACAAAATTACAGACAAATAGAGTGTTTTATAAACTTTGTTTTGTGTGAAGAAACTTATTGTTTTGGGAAGTCATTTTTCTTTACCAAATAATGGTGCTGTTATGATACTTCAAAAGATTATCTGGAACAAAATCTAAAGTACAGATTGAGTTTAATTTTTACTTACACATTACTAAGTGATTCATGTTCATGTGTAATTCAGTTTGGAAATATTTTAACGAGTTGTCCTTGAGTGCCATGGTGGTAAGTAGAAAAATTAATATTTAATTTTACTAATTCTGAAAACATACCGTCTGTTTATTTACTAAAATGTAATTACTAGCGCAGTTATTTGTTTTAGCAGTATTCTGGTATTGTTCCTCAACAATGCCTGGTCACTTTGATGTATAATGTGTGTATGTTGCTCGGAAGTTGAATTAGTTTGGTCTGTTTTAATGTGCTACACTTGTAAAACGACACACTTGCATTACCGTCCCTTGGGCGACTCAAGCTAAACACCCTGGAGTTAAATGTCTGTCTGTGTTTATCTCTCTAGTTAGTGATATCTTAATTGTCTGTCTGTGTTTATCTCTCTAGTTAGTGATATCTTAATTGTCTGTCTGTGTTTATCTCTCTAGTTAGTGATACCTTAATTGTCTGTCTGTGTTTATCTCTCTAGTTAGTGATACCTTAAATGTCTGTCTGTTTTTATCTCTCTAGTTAGTGATACCTTAATTGTCTGTCTGTGTTTATCTCTAGTTAGTGAGACCTTAATTGTCTGTCTGTGTTTATCTCTCTAGTTAGTGAGACCTTAATTGTCTGTCTGTGTTTATCTCTAGTTAGTGAGACCTTAATTGTCTGTCTGTGTTTATCTCTCTAGTTAGTGATACCTTAATTGTCTGTCTGTGTGTTGGGTGCTGATTTGGAAGAGTGTAATATTGTGTGAATGGACAGAGTGGTATGATAGTTATTTCCGGGGAGTTCAAGGGAATGTGAACAGTGGCAACATTGGCCCGAATAGTGAGGGGGAGAGAATGTTGGGACCAGTGAGAAGTGTAGTGTCACGAGAAAGTAGATGTATGGGCTCACTGTGGGGGCTGACAAGCATGGCTAACGAGACGCACACAGAAAGTATGAGTTACGTGACAGTGTGATCCTCGTGTAAGCCTGAGCCACCCACATGAGTGATTCTCGTGTAGTCTGAGAACGCCCACATAAGCGTGAGTCTTGAGAATGCCCACATAAGAATGATTCCCGAGAACGCCCACATGAGCAGGACTCTCGGGTTAGGGTTAGGGTTAGCAACCGTAGCCGCCCACATGGGACAGAAAAGCTATATATTTATTGAGAGTCAGTCAGTCAGTCGGAGTGAGCTGCAGCCAGATAGCTGCACTGGAGAAGTGCAGGTGTAGTACACACCCAGCACAAGAGTGCTATACGTCAGTGAGTCAGTCAGTGAGTCAGTCAGTGAGTCAGTCAGTGAGTCAGTCAAGCAGAGAGAGAGACCAGGTCAGAGTCAGTATCTCTCCAGTGAGACAGAGTACCGTGCACTCGTCAGACAGCAAGGTCTGAGCGAGAGTCTCGGTCACGGTACCGGTGGAAGGTATAGTCTCGCTGGCGAAGTAAGGCCAAGGGGACTGGATGCTCCAATAGTGACTGTTCTGGGTGACGATGCAAGGAGACTTAGGATCACCATGGAAACAGAACAGTAGGGATGCCGACGGAAGCTGTGTGCTAGTAGGGATGTGTTAAAAGTCCTGTTGGTCATCAGAGTCCTTCGAAAAGCTGATGTGCTGTTCCAGTCAGCTGTTTTTGTCTGCTGAAGTAATATCAAGGTTCATTTGATAGGAAAGTTCATCCTGTTCTGCTGTACCGTGAGACCAGAGTTGTGGGACGCTGTATACCCTCGGAGCTGTAGTGGTCAGGGAAAGGTTGCTACAAGTTGAAAGAGAGAGAGAGTGAAGACTACGAGCGAATGCCAATTAGGATTAGTGTCTATGTTTATGAGTGTGCAGTTTTGTCAGTGTAAAGGCTTGTGAATACCCTTGTGTACCATTTCAGTAAACTTGATGTATGGCAGAGCTGACAGTGTTATGTTGTAACTCAATGTGTCAAGTGAATATCTGTACCTGTGGACACTTGTTCGTGTGCTGATTATTGTGTAACTCAGATAGCACCCAACACTGTGTTTATCTCTCTAGTTAGTGATACCTTAATTGTCTGTCTTGCGAACGAAAGAAGAAGAAGACTTGTCTGTCTGTGTTTGTCTCTGCTTGTGATGCTTGAAATGTCTGTGTGTCCTCAGGTGCGCAGACTTGTAGGGGCAATGGTGTTGGTGGCCAAGAATGCCATCAGTCTGAGTGATCTGCAAGACATCTTGGAGAATCCCAGGAAAGAGTTTCCCTTCGCTGGTCAGATGTCAGCCAGAGAGGACGGCCTCTTCCTTCTGGACGTGGATTACTCATCCAATGGTCAGTGTTAGTAGAGAAGTGGTAATGTTACTTGAAAATTGGTCAACCAGAGCTAGTGAATGGGTGGGTAAGCCACGAGCATTTGTGTAGATCTGTTGATCAATCAGAGCTAGTTGGTGAGTGGACAAGTCACGAACATTTGTGTAGATCTGTTGGTCAACCAGAGCTAGTAAGGGAGTGGACAACATAAACATTTGTGTAGATTTGTTGGACAACATAAACATTTATGTAGATTTGTTGGACAACATAAACATTTGTGTAGATTTGTTGGTCAACATAAACATTTGTGTAGATCTGTTGGTCAACCAGAGCTAGTAAGGGAGTGGACAACATAAACATTTGTGTAGATTTGTTGGACAACATAAACATTTGTGTAGATTTGTTGGACAACATAAACATTTGTGTAGATTTGTTGGTCAACATAAACATTTGTGTAGATCTGTTGGTCAACCAGAGCTAGTAAGGGAGTGGACAACATAAACATTTGTGTAGATTTGTTGGACAACATAAACATTTGTGTAGATTTGTTGGACAACATAAACATTTTTGTAGATTTGTTGGTCAACATAAACATTTGTGTAGATCTGTTGGACAATATAAACATTTGTGTAGATCTGTTGGTCAACCAGAGCTAGTAAGGGAGTGGACAACATAAACATTTTTGTAGATTTGTTGGTTAATCAGAGCTGGTGAGTGAGTAGGCAACATATGAACATTTATGTAGATCTCCAGTCTTTCTATACTGTCTTTTGTGGTAATTCCTGCTGTACTGTCCTGTGTGGTAATCTCCCTACAGTGTCCGGTGTGGTAGTCTCCCTACAGTGTCTTGTGTAGTTGTCTCCCTGAGTGTCTTGTGTGGTAATCTCCAAGTCTCCCTACAGTGTCTTGTGCTATAGTCTCCCTCCAGTGTCTTGTGTGGTAGTCTTCCTACAGTGTCTTGTGTGGTAGTCTCCCTACAATGTCTTGTGTGGTAGGCTTCATACAGTGTCTTGTGTAGTGGTCGCTTAGTCTCCCTACAGTATCCTGTGTGTTAGTCTTCCTACAATGTCCATGTGGTAGTCTCCCTTCACTGTCTTGTGTTTTAGTCTCCCTACAGTCTTGTGTGGCAGTCACTGCAACAACTTTTTGTGGTAGTCACTGCAACAACTTTTTGTGGTAGTCCCGGCTAGAACATTTCGTGTGGTAGTCACCGTACAACATTTTGTGTGGTAATCACTGCTACAACATCTGTGTCGTAGTCATTGCTACAACATCTGTGTCGTAGTCATTGCTACAACATTTATGTGGCAGTCATTGCTACAACATGCCTGTCTCCACCTTTCTCAGCATGCTCTGTGAGTCAGGTACAATGATGACATGTGTGTACAGCTGATTCTCAAGCCAACGGAAGGCAGCAGTGACTGCCTCCACCTCCATTCTCAAACTAGATGTTGTGATATCATATGCCAGGCTTTGTTGCGCCAAGCGACGTCCATTCCCCTTCGGTTTGAACCCCTGTGCATTTCGTCTGCCCCTAACCACAGAGCCATATGTACATAAAATCACATCACTTGGGCGGGAATTGTCATGAATCATTTGTTGAACTTCTGATTCTGCAGCACCAGCTAGCCAGTCCCTGCACTCAAGTCCCAAAGTGATAAGAACCCTACACAAGTCTGAAACATGATTGGAAACTTTGACCCACTCCTCTCCTCACCTAAATTTATCAAGCCTGCACACATGTCGAATTGTGTCTTCAGTGTGCGCCATCTAAGACATGCTAGAACATTTAGTGTGGTAGTCACTGCTAGAACATTTAGTGTGGCAGTCACTGCTAGAACATTTAGTGTGGTAGTCACTGCTAGAACATTTAGTGTGGTAGTCACTGCTAGAACATTTAGTGTGGTAGTCACTGCTAGAACATTTAGTGTGGTAGTCACTGCTAGAACATTTAGTGTGGTAGTCACTGCTAGAACATTTAGTGTGGTAGTCATTGCTAGAACATTTAGTGTGGTAGTCATTGCTAGAACATTTAGTGTGGTAGTCACTGCTAGAACATTTAGTGTGGCAATCACTGCTAGAACATTTAGTGTGGTAGTCACTGCTAGAACATTTAGTGTGGCAGTCATTGCTAGAACATTTAGTGTGGTAGTCATTGCTAGAACATTTAGTGTGGCAGTCACTGCTAGAACATTTAGTGTGGTAGTCATTGCTAGAACATTTAGTGTGGTAGTCATTGCTAGAACATTTAGTGTGGCAGTCATTGCTAGAACATTTAGTGTGGCAGTCATTGCTAGAACATTTAGTGTGGTAGTCACTGCTAGAACATTTAGTGTGGCAGTCATTGCTAGAACATTTAGTGTGGTAGTCACTGCTAGAACATTTAGTGTGGCAGTCACTGCTAGAACATTTAGTTTGGTAGTCACTGCTAGAACATTTAGTGTGGCAGTCACTGCTAGAACATTTATTGTAGTAGTCACTGCTAGACCATTTAGTGTGGTAGTCACTGCTAGAACATTTAGTGTGATAGTCAGTGCTAGAACATTTAGTGTGGTAGTCACTGCTAGAACATTTAGTGTGGCAGTCACTGCTAGAACATTTAGTGTGGTAGTCACTGCTAGAACATTTAGTGTGGTAGTCACTGCTAGAACATTTAGTGTGGTAGTCATTGCTAGAACATTTAGTGTGGTAGTCACTGCTAGAACATTCAGTGTGGTAGTCACTGCTAGAACATTTAGTGTGGCAGTCATTGCTAGAACATTTAGTGTGGTAGTCATTGCTAGAACATTTAGTGTGGTAGTCACTGCTAGAACATTTAGTGTGGTAGTCACTGCTAGAACATTTAGTGTGGCAGTGACTGCTAGAACATTTAGTGTGGTAGTCACTGCTAGAACATTTAGTGTGGTAGTCATTGCTAGAACATTTAGTGTGGTAGTCATTGCTAGAACATTTAGTGTGGCAGTCATTGCTAGAACATTTAGTGTGGCAGTCATTGCTAGAACATTTAGTGTGGTAGTCACTGCTAGAACATTTAGTGTGGCAGTCATTGCTAGAACATTTAGTGTGGTAGTCACTGCTAGAACATTTAGTGTGGCAGTCACTGCTAGAACATTTAGTTTGGTAGTCACTGCTAGAACATTTAGTGTGGTAGTCACTGCTAGAACATTTAGTGTGGTAGTCACTGCTAAAACATTTAGTGTGGTAGTCACTGCTAGAACATTTAGTGTGGTAGTCACTGCTAGAACATTTAGTGTGGTAGTCACTGCTAGAACATTTAGTGTGGCAGTCATTGCTAGAACATTTAGTGTGGTAGTCATTGCTAGAACATTTAGTGTGGTAGTCATTGCTAGAACATTTAGTGTGGTAGTCACTGCTAGAACATTTAGTGTGGTAGTCATTGCTAGAACATTTAGTGTGGTAGTCATTGCTAGAACATTTAGTGTGGCAGTCACTGCTAGAACATTTAGTTTGGCAGTCACTGCTAGAACATTTAGTGTGGCAGTCACTGCTAGAACATTTATTGTGGTAGTCACTGCTAGACCATTTAGTGTGGTAGTCACTGCTAGAACATTTAGTGTGATAGTCAGTGCTAGAACATTTAGTGTGGCAGTCACTGCTAGAACATTAAGTGTGGCAGTCACTGCTAGAACATTTAGTGTGGTAGTCACTGCTAGAACATTTAGTGTGGTAGTCACTGCTAGAACATTTAGTGTGGTAGTCATTGCTAGAACATTTAGTGTGGTAGTCACTGCTAGAACATTCAGTGTGGTAGTCACTGCTAGAACATTTAGTGTGACAGTCATTGCTAGAACATTTAGTGTGGTAGTCACTGCTAGAACATTTAGTGTGGTAGTCACTGCTAGAACATTTAGTGTGGTAGTCACTGCTAGAACATCTAGTGTGGCAGTGACTGCTAGAACATTTAGTGTGGTAGTCACTGCTAGAACATTTAGTGTGGCAGTCACTGCTAGAACATTTAGTGTGGTAGTCACTGCTAGAACATTTAGTGTGGTAGTCACTGCTAGAACATTTAGTGTGGTAGTCATTGCTAGAACATTTAGTGTGGTAGTCACTGCTAGAACATTTAGTGTGGTAGTCACTGCTAGAACATTTAGTGTGGCAGTCATTGCTAGAACATTTAGTGTGGTAGTCATTGCTAGAACATTTAGTGTGGTAGTCATTGCTAGAACATTTAGTGTGGTAGTCACTGCTAGAACATTTAGTGTGGCAGTCACTGCTAGAACATTTAGTGTGGTAGTCATTGCTAGAACATTTAGTGTGGTAGTCACTGCTAGAACATTTAGTGTGGCAATCACTGCTAGAACATTTAGTGTGGTAGTCACTGCTAGAACATTTAGTGTGGCAGTCACTGCTAGAACATTTATTGTGGTAGTCACTGCTAGAACATTTAGTGTGGTAGTCACTGCTAGAACATTTAGTGTGGTAGTCAGTGCTAGAACATTTAGTGTGGTAGTCACTGCTAGAACATTTAGTGTGGCAGTCACTGCTAGAACATTTAGTGTGGTAGTCACTGCTAGAACATTTAGTGTGGTAGTCACTGCTAGAACATTTAGTGTGGTAGTCACTGCTAGAACATTTAGTGTGGTAGTCACTGCTAGAACATTTAGTGTGGTAGTCATTGCTAGAACATTTAGTGTGGTAGTCACTGCTAGAACATTTAGTGTGGTAGTCACTGCTAGAACATTTAGTGTGGTAGTCACTGCTAGAACATTTAGTGTGGTAGTCATTGCTAGAACATTTAGTGTGGTAGTCACTGCTAGAACATTTAGTGTGGCAGTCATTGCTAGAACATTTAGTGTGGTAGTCACTGCTAGAACATTTAGTGTGGTAGTCACTGCTAGAACATTTAGTGTGGTAGTCACTGCTAGAACATTTAGTGTGGCAGTCATTGCTAGAACATTTAGTGTGGTAGTCACTGCTAGAACATTTAGTGTGGCAGTCACTGCTAGAACATTTAGTGTGGTAGTCACTGCTAGAACATTTAGTGTGGCAGTCACTGCTAGAACATTTAGTGTGGTAGTCACTGCTACAATATTTTTTGTGTGGTAATCACTGCTAGAACATTTAGTGTGGTAGTCGCTGGTACAACATTTTATATGGCATTCACTGCTACAACATTTTATGTAGCTGAATATCTTATTTTTTGCCTTGTAGATCTGGAGATTTCTGGTTCGGTTCAAACAGATAGTGTGTCAGAGCAGCCAGAACTGTCACATGATGATGATGATGTTTCTGTTTCCTGTGGAGGGAGTCACCATGGAGATGGGGTAACTACAACCAGGCCTGGTGGTGGAGCCGCTGATAGTGAGCAGATTGCTGGGAATCATGTCATGAACTGTCTCTCGGCCACACAGACAGACTCGACCATGGCCAGCTCATCACCAAACTCACAGGAGGTCTCACTTTCTGGCTGATGTCGTCAAGGTCCTGTGTGCAGTTGGTGAGATGACGATGTGTGATGTGTCTTCTAGAGGTCAGGCTGATGTCTTTGTCACTTTACTTGATCATTACTTTGTGACATGGTGGTGTTTGGTTCACATCTTGACCACAGATCTCCTAGATGTTGGGGTTAGCACTGTCTCAAGAGGTCTCTTCACATAATGTTAAACAATTTATCTCTCACATAATGTTAAACAGTTGATTTCTCACATAATTTTCTTCATGTTCACTGGCTGGATCAACATACGATCTCAGATAATGTTCAACAAGAGATCTCTCAGATAATGTTCAACAAGAGATCTTTCAGATAATGTTCTACAAGAGATCTCTCAGATAATGTTCAACAAGAGATCTCTCAGATAGTGTTCAACAAGAGATCTCTCAGATAATGTTCAACAAGAGATCTCTCAGATAATGTTTAACAAGAGATCTCTCAGATAGTGTTTAACAAGAGATCTCTTAGATAATGTTCTACAAGAGGTCTCTCAGATAATGTTTAACAAGAGATCTCTTAGATAATGTTCTACAAGAGGTCTCTCAGATAATGTTCAACAAGAGATCTCTCAGATAATGTTTAACAAGAGATCTCTCAGATAATGTTCAACAAGAGGTCTCTCAGATAATGTTCAACAAGAGATCTCTCAGATAATGTTTAACAAGAGATCTCTCAGATAATGTTCAACAAGAGATCTCTCAGATAATGTTTAACAAGAGATCTCTCAGATAATGTTCAACAAGAGATCTCTCAGATAATGTTTAACAAGAGATCTCTTAGATAATGTTCTACAAGAGGTCTCTCACATAATGTTCAACAAGAGATCTCTCAGATAATGTTCTACAAGAGGTCTCTCAGATAATGTTCAACAAGAGATCTCTCAGATAATATTCAACAAGAGATCTCTCAGATAATGTTCTACAAGAGCTCTTTCAGATAATCTTAAACAATAGATCTCTTAGATAATTTTCAGCAAGAGATCTGTCACCTAATGTTTAGCAAGAGATCTGTCACCTAATGTTTAGCAAGAGATCTGTCACATATTGTTTACCAAGAGATGCCCTAGCTAGTGTGTTGCCATGCCTCAAGAGGTCTCCAGTGTGACTGGGCTGTTTGTGTCAGATCTTTGTAGAAGTTGTAGAAGTTGCAGTTGTGTTGTAAATACTGCCATGAAGAATTATCAAGTCAGAGAGTCATTTGTGAGCTGTGTTAGCCATCTGTCTCACATTTGTGAGCTGTGTTAGCCATCTGTCTCACATTTGTGAGCTGTGTTAGCCATCTGTCTCACATTTGTCAGCTGTGTTAGCCATCTGTCTCACATTTGTGAGCTGTGTTAGCCGTCTCTCTCACATTTGTGAGCTGTGTTAGCCGTCTGTCTCACATTTGTGAGCTGTGCTGGCCATCTGTCTCACATTTGTCAACTGTGTTAGCCGTCTCTCTCACATTTGTCTGCTGTGTTAGCCGTCTGTCTCACATTTGTGAGCTGTGTTAGCCGTCTCTCTCACATTTGTAAGCTGTGCTGGCCATCTGTCTCACATTTGTCAACTGTGTTAGCCGTCTCTCTCACATTTGTCTGCTGTGTTAGCCGTCTGTCTCACATTTGTGAGCTGTGCTGGCCATCTGTCTCACATTTGTCTGCTGTGTTAGCCCTCTGTCTCACATTTGTCAGCTGTGTTAGCCATCTGTCTCACATTTGTCAGCTGTGTTAGCCATCTGTCTCAACATTTGTCAGCTGTGTTAGCCATCTGTCTCACATTTGTCAGCTGTGTTAGCCATCTGTCTCACATTTGTCAGCTATGTTAGCCATCTGTCTCACATTTGTCAGCTGTGTTAGCCATCTGTCTCACATTTGTCAGCTGTGTTAGCCATCTGTCTCACATTTGTCAGCTGTGTTAGCCATCTGTCTCACATTTGTGAGCTGTACTGGCCATCTGTCTCACATTTGTCAGCTGTGTTAGCCATCTGTCTCACATTTGTCAGCTGTACTGGCCATCTGTCTCACATTTGTCAGCTGTGTTAGCCATCTGTCTCACATTTGTGAGCTGTACTGGCCATCTGTCTCACATTTGTCAGCTGTGTTAGCCATCTGTCTCACATTTGTCAGCTGTGTTAGCCATCTGTCTCACATTTGTCAGCTGTGTTAGCCATCTGTCTCACATTTGTCAGCTGTGTTAGCCATCTATCTCACATTTGTCAGCTGTGTTAGCCATCTTTCTCACATTTGTCAGCTGTGTTAGCCATCTGTCTCACATTTGTCAGCTGTGTTAGCCATCTGTCTCACATTTGTGAGCTGTACTGGCCATCTGTCTCACATTTGTCAGCTGTACTGGCCATCTGTCTCACATTTGTCAGCTGTACTAGCCATCTGTCTCACATTTGTCAGCTGTACTGGCCATCTGTCTCACATTTGTCAGCTGTACTGGCCGTCTCACATTTGTCAGCTGTACTGGCCATTTGTCTCACATTTGTCAGCTGTACTGGCCATTTGTCTCACATTTGTCAGCTGTACTGGCCATCTGTCTCACATTTGTGAGCTGTACTGGCCATCTGTCTCACATTTGTCAGCTGTACTGGCCATCTGTCTCACATTTGTCAGCTGTACTGGCCATTTGTCTCACATTTGTCAGCTGTACTAGCCATTTGTCTCACATTTGTCAGCTGTACTAGCCATTTGTCTCACATTTGTCAGCTGTACTAGCCATTTGTCTCACATTTGTCAGCTGTACTAGCCATTTGTCTCACATTTGTCAGCTGTACTGGCCATCTGTCTCACATTTGTCAGCTGTACTGGCCATCTGTCTCACATTTGTCAGCTGTACTAGCCATTTGTCTCACATTTGTCAGCTGTACTAGCCATTTGTCTCACATTTGTCAGCTGTACTAGCCATTTGTCTCACATTTGTCAGCTGTACTGGCCATTTGTCTCACATTTGTCAGCTGTACTAGCCATCTGTCTCACATTTGTCACCTGTACTGGCCATTTGTCTCACATTTGTCAGCTGTACTAGCCATTTGTCTCACATTTGTCAGCTGTACTGGCCATCTGTCTCACATTTGTGAGCTGTACTGGCCATTTGTCTCACATTTGTCAGCTGTACTGGCCATTTGTCTCACATTTGTCATCTGTGTTAGCCATCTGTCTCACATTTGTCAGCTGTGTACTGGCCATTTGGTTCTCACATTTGTCAGCTGTACTGGCCATCTGTCTCACATTTGTGAGCTGTACTGGCCATCTGTCTCACATTTGTGAGCTGTACTAGCCATTTGTCTCACATTTGTCAGCTGTACTAGCCATTTGTCTCACATTTGTCAGCTGTACTAGCCATTTGTCTCACATTTGTCATCTGTGTTAGCCATCTGTCTCACATTTGTGAGCTGTACTGGCCATCTGTCTCACATTTTGTGAGCTGTACTAGCCATTTGTCTCACATTTGTCAGCTGTATTAGCCATTTGTCTCACATTTGTCAGCTGTACTAGCCATTTGTCTCACATTTGTCATCTGTGTTAGCCATCTGTCTCACATTTGTGAGCTGTACTGGCCATCTGTCTCACATTTGTCAGCTTGTACTGGCCATCTGTCTCACATTTGTCAGCTGTACTAGCCATTTGTCTCACATTTGTCAGCTGTACTAGCCATTTGTCTCACATTTGTCAGCTGTACTGGCCATCTGTCTCACATTTGTGAGCTGTACTGGCCATTTGTCTCACATTTGTCAGCTGTACTGGCCATCTCTCTCACATTTGTCAGCTGTGTTAGCCATCTGTCTCACATTTGTCAGCTGTACTGGCCATTTGTCTCACATTTGTCAGCTGTACTGGCCATCTGTCTCACATTTGTGAGCTGTACTGGCCATCTGTCTCACATTTGTGAGCTGTACTGGCCGTCTCACATTTGTCGGTTGTACTGGCCATCTGTCTCACATTTGTCAGCTGTACTGGCCATCTGTCTAACATTTGTGAGCTGTACTAGCCATTTGTCTCACATTTGTCAGCTGTACTAGCCATCTGTCTCACATTTGTCAGCTGTACTGGCCATTTGTCTCACATTTGTCAGCTGTACTGGCCATCTGTCTCACATTTGTCAGCTGTACTGGCCATCTGTCTAACATTTGTGAGCTGTACTGGCCATCTGTCTCACATTTGTGAGCTGTACTGGCCATCTGTCTCACATTTGTTGTTCTCATCAACAATATAAACACAGGCAGCTTCTAAAATAAAAGTTGTCTAAAAATGTTGGCAGCTTGGGAAATGGAACCATCTTCAGCTGTTGTCAGAGCCATTGTTTTTGTGTCAGTAACTCACCAATAATTGGTAACCTATTTTGTGGTGACCCTATTCAATCAGTTAGCTACCTGTGCTGCCAAAGCAACAACCAATACTGCCCCATCAACAATCATTACTGCGTCAGCAACAACCGTTACTGCCACAGCAACAACCATTACTGCACCAGCAACAACCGTTACTGCGGCAGCAACAACCATAACTGCCCCAGCAACAAACTATTAATGCTTCAGCAACCACCATTACTGCCCCAGCAACAACTATTACTGCCCCAGCAACAAAACCATTATTGCCTCGGCAACAACCGTTACTGCCGCAGCAACAAACCATTATTTGCCCCAGCAACAGCCATTACTGCACCGGCAACAACCATTACTGCCCGCAGCAACAACCATTACTGCCCCAGCAACAACCATTACTGCCCCGGAAACAACCATTACTGCCGCAGCAACAACCATAACTGCCCCAGCAACACTATTACTGCTTCAGCAACCACCATTACTGCCCCTGCAACAACCGTTACTGCCGCAGCAACAACCATTACTGCCCCGGCAACATCCATTACTGCACCGGCAACAACCATTACTGCCCGGAAAAACAACCATTACTGCCCCCGGCAACAACCATTACTGCCCCAGCAACAACCATTACTGCCCCAGCAACATCCATTACTGCCCCAGCAAACAACCATTACTGCC